TTTACACGAAAACTAACATTTTCTCGAACGTGCCATATATGATTTCCCATCTCGTTTTATAAATATTTCGATGATATTTATATCTCTTGGTGAGGTTGAGAAAATAAAATCATTTGACCTGGGTTCAGTTTACAATCTTAACTCAGTGCCTGTAAACGTGATGGAAGTTTAGTGACGAGAAGCGACAATTTGTACAGTTCACAGTAGCAAACAGGGAAGTACGAAGACATTTACAGAAGTGGGCCCCTGGTCGTGTTGGTAGTATTTACTTGTATTCATGGAGTATCTTCATATAAACCGAGGACGTGTCTTGTTAAGACATCAACTTTTCAGATTTGTAATATTTTACAATAACCGACACAACTAGTGTGTGCTTATTACCCTGTGCGTTCCCTCGCCAGTCCTTATTCCCAGTACAAGACATGTGTCATAAAAGCGACGCGGTCTCCAACTGACTGTCACAGTGTCTCCAGTGACAGAAATCGATAGCAAGTGAAAAGGTCAGCATGTGCTCCTTCAAAGTGAAGACGCTGATTTCATGTGTCAGTTATTTTCGTGATAATTATTTTGACATGTACCTGTATTCTCAAGGAGTTTGCTTCGCTCACAATTTGAAACTAGGGAAGGAGTTGGTGAATATGCCGATTCGTGAATTTAACAGTTACTTTAATCTTTAAAAAATATCCCTGTCCTAAAATTCCTGCAAAGCAGATTCAATCGGGTTATTTTTATAGGGTGTACCATGGACAATGATATTATCAGTTAGTTGAACGTTTTAATGTACAGGTCTTGGAGCCCGTTTTGTTGACTGATTACAATGTGTATTAATTTGACAAAGGAAAAATCGTTTTACATACTCTTACCAAACAAAAGAGAGAAATGGTTTGTATAATGCACAGTGATGTTTGTAACATCGACCAAACATTCAAAATGCGCTGATATGTCGTTCCTAAGGTATTTATTCTTGTATGCATGTATTTATTAAGCGGACAAAAAATCTTAACATGATGTTGTAAATATTGTGTTTATCGATTGTGACTACATATACTTATGCGACAATTATGTTTTTACTTATACATTGCCGTGATGTCAAGTCATAATATTCCCCATACTGATTACTACTGTAAACTTGCAGGAGTCTCTACAATGTAAGTGTAAAAAATTGATAATTTAAATGATAATTTCTAAAAAATATGAATAACAGACTGGCGTCCTTAGACATGCACAAGTATCTAAGGTAGTAATTAATAGTTTAAATAATAATTTTCTAAAAATATAATTAACGCACTGGCGTCCTTACAACCAGTCTGCTTTATCTAGACTAGGGATAGAAATAATATAGATGCATGGGCTTAAAGTACTTTAACATTCAGTACAGCCTTGGAGCAAGGCTATGACTACTGATACCTATGGTTTTATTAATTTCTAAACAATACCAATATGAATGCATGTAGTATGAGTCTCTAGTTTCAAATAGTTATGTCGTAATGTGTTACATTTTAAAGTTCTATTCGGTACATGTTACGAATAGTTTATTATAACTGATTATGCCGTCTGAATAAGGTTGTATGCCAATATCTGAAACTGATTTGTTACCCGTCCGGCAATCAACACTCCTGAAATATATCGTCACCCCTTTGTGAAAACGGTGAAACTACCTCGAGACATTAACGCCGACTAAATTACATGTTCATTTATGAATGCTGAACAATACAACGATTCTGCATGACAGAGTGAAGCCATTACCACGTTCCCCATAGTGCCACTCGCGTCATACGCCTGTTGCATGCTATAAATACGAATGTGAATGTTGAAAGTTGATACAATCTGTAGACTCGGCTATTATTCTTTAATGTCACTGTTTAAAGATATGTGGATATTTTCGGGTCCAGCTCATACAGGGCGACCACCTCACAATGCAAAGTTCCTTCACTTTAGGCATGTCTGATTGGTTGATTGTTTAACGTTTGCGCACTCAGCCATATTCCAGCTGTATGGCGGCGGTCTGTAAACAATTGAGTCTGACCAGACAATCCAGTGATCAACAGCATGAGCATAGATCTACGCAATTGAGGGATACGATGACATGTGTCAACCAAGACAGCGAGTCTGACCACCTGATCCCGTTAGTCGCCTCTCCATGACAAGCATGGGTACGCATGCCTGAAACGCGGGTTCGATTCCCAGATTGGCACTAACAATGTTCTGCCGTCGAGACCATACTCGTGATCGTCCTTTCACCAAAGTAATACATTTTATAAGACGTCCATCTCTTCGGGCTTTCCTCCCACATTAAGCCTACAACGAAAGTAATGTTAAAAGTAGCGATAAACCCAACTCACTCACTCACCCTATAGATGATTAATTAAAATGGGGACCCAACATAAACACTTTTATAACAATATAACAAAATAAGGTGACACTGAAATAATATACAAAATGGGTTTATTAGGCGGAAGGGCGAGATATTGATAGTTGTCTGTTATACCAACACATGTTCAAGTAGTTGGTTATTTATACATTTTCTGGCTTTGGGGCCCATATGATAAAGTAGTGCAGTACGCTGGGTGCCGATCCTATTAAGTAGTAATCCGTAAAGCAGTGCAGTACGCCGTATGCTGAGTCCTGTTAAGTAGTAATCCGTAAAGTAGTGCAGTACGCTGGATGCCGAGTCCTGTTAATCAGTAATCCGTAAAGTGTAGTGCAGTACGCTGGGTGCCGAGTCCTGTTAAGTAGTAATCCGTAAAGTAGTGCAGTACGCTGGGTGCCGAGTCCTGTTAAGTAGTAATCCGTAAAGTAGTGCAGTACGCCGTATGCCGAGTCCTGTTAAGTAGTAATCCGTAACGTAGTGCAGTACGCTGGGTGCCGAGTGCTGTTAAGTAGTAATCCGTAACGTAGTGCAGTACGCTGAGTGCCGAGTGCTGTTAAGTAGTAATCCGTAACGTAGTGCAGTACGCTGGGTGCCGAGTGCTGTTAAGTAGTAATCCGTAAAGTAGTGCAGTACGCTGGGTGCCGAGTGCTGTTAAGTAGTAATCCGTAAAGTAGTGCAGTACGCTGGGTGCCGATCCTATTAAGTAGTAATCCGTAAAGTAGTGCAGTACGCTGGGTGCCGATCCTATTAAGTAGTAATCCGTAAAGTAGTGCAGTACGCTGGGTGCCGAGTCCTGTTAAGTAGTAATCCGTAAAGTAGTGCAGTACGCTGGGTGCCGAGTCCTGTTAAGTAGTAATCCGTAAAGTAGTGCAGTACGCTGGGTGCCGAGTCCTGTTAATCAGTAATCCGTAACGTAGTGCAGTACGCTGGGTGCCGATCCTATTAAGTAGTAATCCGTAAAGTAGTGCAGTACGCTGGGTGCCGATCCTATTAAGTAGTAATCCGTAAAGTAGTGCAGTACGCTGGGTGCCGAGTCCTGTTAAGTAGTAATCCGTAAAGTGGTGCAGTACGCTGGGTGCCGAGTCCTGTTAAGTAGTAATCCGTAAAGTAGTGCAGTACGCTGGGTGCTGAGTCCTGTTAAGTGGTTTTGAAATTTATTTTTCTTGCAAAGTGCGAAAATCAATAACAAAAATAGCTTTAGGTTTTGTGCGTGCTTGGCCATACATTCTATGTGAAAATCCCAGTGTATTTTGCTTGTACAAGCTGTATACGCTCATGTGATTTAAGACTGCTTAATTTGGATGTCAAGGTAAATTAGTGGTATGTAATCTCATAAAAGTTTTGACTCATAACTATATGTCTAGGATGATTTGAATGTATGCCCCTTCTTCACAATAATGATATTACATTTCATTTATAAGATTCTTGCCTGTGTTACGTTTTCAAGGATGACGCTTACAAAGGAAATTTGTGCGAATCTGGGAAAGATGCGCAGGTAAAATCATTACTTTTAATGTCATATACTGAGTTAAAACAGTCAAGAGAAACTCAAATATCCACAAAAGAACAACTATATATAATGTTGTGGACAACATGTCTGTAGTATTTATCAGTTTTCGAACTGTTTATATAATAAATCACACGTGCAGAAAGACTAATGCCCGTATTTGTAAATTTGGTTTAGAAAGAAAGTCACACACACATTTTAAGAACAAGTAATGCATTATCTGAGAATAGCACTTGTGTATAAATAATATCATTGATGATGCAAAAGGCGATGATGAATTAGTGAGTTAGACTTTCATTTCCCGCCCACCAGCACTAACACGGGCCCTGACTATGATTTAGTAAAGTGCCGGAAAGCCTTTATTCTGCTATTCTGTGGAGACCACACTCAATGCACAATCCTATAAGAACACGCTCGCTTCATCCTCATCTCCGACAGTTGATGATAACGCATACCTTAGTTGGATTTCGTTAATATCAGTTAAAGAGCAAAAATGCTCCGGAAACTTTTGGCAGAAAGTCTAATGAATTAATTAATAATTTTGATGGCCTTATACATATATTGTCATTTCATAACATCAAAAAGTTGAAATATTATATTATTGCCACAGTATACAAAGAATGTGTGATAACAAACATATACATGTATGTACACTAACACATTACTCCCATCGTTACTAAGTACGTACACACGGTGATCAGGAGAAGGGAATTACATGTAATAAAGTATAGGTAATGTAACAGTAGTGAAATGATAAAAACACGACTACAGATATATTTGCAAAGAGGTACAGCTATTGTAATATGGCGAGCTATGATTATAATTCTATTGCATTGTTGGGCATCATATTTAAAGTTGAAACTGCCGTCAAGTAATCCATCCAGCAGATTATGTGAACAGTTGTAAAGCAAGCACTGGAAAGTAGGCCCGATGAGAGAGGGGTATGTGATAAGAACACCATGATGAAAACATAAATGATAACTGTTATATTTTCAGATAACATACTGATATATTTTCAGACGATATACTGGTATGTATTTTTAGATGATATACTATTATATTTTCAAGATGATATACCGATATATTTTTCAGACGATATACTGATATATTTTCAGATGATATTACTGTTATATTTTCACAGGGTTGCCTGCATTGATACTTAATAATAATAATTGTGAATTTATAATGCGCCTTTTCCATATACAAGGCAATATGCTCAAATATACGATCTTGATTATTATTACCCCCGTATAACCTAACGTGCCTGTGAGGCGCCAGAAGGTTAATGGTCACACGGCCTATCCCATCGGGTACGTCCATTTTCTGCTGGGTGAACATAGGCAAGTTTGAACAAACCTGCAAAGTTTACACGCAGCACCAAGGTTACCTATTTATTTTATTGATATAAAATGTACAAGGCCGATCACGACGCATCGATATTTCGATTAATCGATACAGTCGATCAAGACTGTGACACCTTTAACTCAACATAGATGTAGCATCTGTTAATTGTTTGTTGTAAAGAATTCGCAAAGACCATCTGACTGTGAGCAAAGATAGAATACCGTCACAGATACAACTGTTTTCTTAACAAAGACAAGTAACAAGAGCACTGTTTCTTTGAGTTGAATTCCTGCTGCCTGGCTGCCGACTTGAAATTGACTGCCAACCGCCTGTTTACCACCGTCAGGAGTTTGCAGATCTCAAGCTGGCCGCCATATTGTTCCATGACGTCACACAAGGTTTGGATAAAATAGGAACCGTTCATTGTGTTCCGGTAGCTGAAATAACCTAGAAAGGAAACGAAGGAGATAATATTCAGTATGTTTTACAAAGAATTTCAGCAAAAAATGTGAAACTGTTTTTCTGGAATGATCGGAACCAACTGAAACACACGTAGTCATTGTCAGTACAAATGTCGGTTTACTGTAGCGCAAATAGGGTTGCGCAACAAAGAGAAAATGACTAGTCTTCCTGAATGCGAGCGAAGCGAGCAAAGGTTCGCAACGTACTTCTCTCGCTTCGGTTCGAAAAATATTTTTGATATCAAGATATAATATCGCCTTCATCAAACGTAGACACCCACTTCCTCACAGGGTTGTGGTCTCAGAATTCCAACCTTGTATTCAATAATTACTCGTAATATATATTTAATTCAACATTTGAAGCGCCACTCGTGGCAGATCAAATCCAGTGACTCACATCAACGCAACTGGGATACGATGACATGCATCAAGCAAGCCAGCGGGCGTGACCACCCGAATGGAATGTTGCTGAAAGCGACGTAAAACTAAACTCACTCACCATGCACCGTCGAATGAATGTACAGGAAGTCCACCTCATATGGCAGGTTCTGGAAAAGGTCTTCATCACTCTCGTCGTCATCTTCATCGTCATCATTTCCTCTGAACACTGCAGCATCAGCGACATCTTGTCCCTCGTCCACCTGGTCGCCCTGACAAGCCTGGGTAAGAACCAAGGTTGATCTCAATATTCACAGAATTGTACATCGCAAAGCATATACTTATCTTGGCTGGTTTTGATAAGGCACGAATATTTAGTTCATCTGACATATTGTTTTTCAAGAGGCCCTCACAAGGTAATCCGGTGTATGGAGAATTACCTCCCTTGGTAAGCGATGGTATGTCCCACGAGGTGAGGTGAAGTGCATGGGCGTAATATGGCATGACAGACAACCGCCCAAATATATCGACGTGCATGGAGAAGAGTGTGTGAATGTGCGTGCGTGCGTGCAGTTTGTGAGTGATTGCTTGTTTTGATACCGGTTTAATCGTTCCAAGGTCTAGACCATGCAGCAGTTTAACATGGACACCCAACTGAGACATATATATTACACCTAGTGCTCGTGTTTACCCCTTGTAAGCATGACTTTGTGTAAGGGTTACACACGGTTCAATCATTGAGGTTTTAGGAGTACACGATAGCTAGTGTGTATTGTTCACATATGTGTGGTATTATCTCCCTACAAAAATGCAAAACATCCAAAACGTGCGCGTGCATGAACATCCACATGCCAATTGTAAATCACGACTTTAAAATCAAGATGATTTCATCTGTGAATATGTTTTACAAGTAGCACAGTAACTCTTACTAATATATACTATCCAAACAAAGAAACGCATAGGCGATTTGTATTTTTAAAATCAATTAATTACCTATTGTGTTCAAACAATCGTCAATATATGTAACAGAAGTGTTGATAACATGCACTGTCTGGCTATAAAAATCCAGATTACTTTAGGAAATTGGCATTCGTTTTGAAGGAGTTTCAAGGTCAAATCACTACGCCACGTCTTGACGCTGCGACACGAAAAATCGAACATCGCCATTGAAAGAATGCACGCTGGAGATTACCAATTTTCTATTGCCAGGCGTCTGAATGTTAGCCTGAGCACGATATCACGGCTTGCAGCTCGTTACAACCAAACAGGTATAACAAATGACCGTCCCCATACAGGCAGACCTCGAGTCACCACTGCAGCCCAAGATCGGTACATCCGGGTACTACATTTGCGTGATCGTACTGCCACGGGTGAGAGCACAGCAGCCAGGGTGCCTGGACTTCGGAGGATATCCGGTCAAACTGTACGGAACAGGTTGAAAGAGATTGGTCTGAGAGCCAGGAGACCCGACGTCGGGACCGTGCTACGTCGTCACCATCGCACTCAACGTCTCCGTTATCTAAAAGTATCCACTTGGTTGTATAGACATTACCTTCTTCTAAACTGATGTACAAATTCATGTACTAAAGTCTATTTGTGGACGAGTTATACATGTTTGAAAATACAACATTTTCGCCCCAGATTTCTGGCCTATGCGTTTCTTTTTGGGATAGTATATATTCAGTTCATATGTCTTGATACCCGTGAAGGTCCGGGTTAGAATGAACCTTCACTAACCCATGCTTGTCGTAAGAGGCGACTAACGGGATCGGGTGGTCAGGCTCGCTGGCTTGGTTGACACATGTCATCGGTTCCCAATTGCGCAGATCGATGCTCATGCTGTTGATCACTGGATTGTCTGGTCCAGATTCGATTATTTACAATCCGCCGCCATATAGCTGGAATGTTGCTGAGTGTGGCGTAAAACTAAACTCACTCACTCATACGTCTTGAATGAGAGAAACGTATTAATAACATGGGAAACGAAGTATTGCCTTCTTTAAGTAGCACATCCATAAATATTATCTATAAACATGACAATCAAATGACACTGTGTATCTACCACGACTTACATTGATGATGAATATCTTCGGTTTCCCTATCAGTGTGCGACATCGTCCGCCGGCGAAGTAGGAGATGAGGGTCTTTATGTGAACTGTTCGCCCGTCCGTGCACGTCACGTGATCCTCCGAGCCGTGCGTCATGATGACGCAGACGAAGCAGTCACGCTTGCTGTGGTCCGATGCAGCTTCTGAGTAAGAAATAAAATGACTCATGTTTTAGTTTGATCAGCATGGCGTACTGCAACCAAGAAGTTTACGTGTTAGTGTGCGTGAATGTGTGCGTGCATGTGTGCGTGTGATGACGCTGTTTCAGACTCTGTACTAGCCAGGGAGCCGTTGTACGAAACAACCTTAGCGTTAAGTCTGTCGTAAGTCTATGTTAAGGTATGGGAGTTACGGTCACCTTAAAATCGCTTTGCACAACGGCACCTAGGCCCCGATTTCTAGAAGCTAACTTACGTTTTCACTCAAATTTCAAAATGAGCGTCAGATTTTGACACAGTGCCATTTCTCAAAACAAACCCAGAAGTTATAATCGATCTCGTTTGTTTGGGTTTTTGTATGTGGTATCAGAGGCCTTCCGTTTCTAATGTAAACACCTTAGATTTACTTCCTGTATACAGCTACGAAGTCTTGTATACTCACTGGACATGAGACATGCCTGCAAAGTGTCCGCCGTAACGTCTTGCACCATGTCGACGTCAAAGCCGCGGCTGACAAGTGTTTCCGTCATTCTCTCGGCATCCACGTCGGTTCCCATTCGGCTGCTCGTTGTCCTGAAGTTCAGGTTACATATTATCAAGGCCAAGCCACGCTGTTGGCGGTTCAGCTTGTACTTCACTGGACCGGAAGTGATCTCACGGAAACTTTCTGATGAGGTTTTTGCTCGGGAACTCACGTTCTGAATTTGGGGCGGATGTCGTAGCTCTGGGGACGGAAACACGGTTCACTTTTCGCTTATCATGGTACATGTTTTACAGACCCGTGAAGGTCCGGGTTAGAATATTGATCTTCAGTAACTCATGCTTGTCGTAAGAGGCGACTAACGGGATCGGGTGGTCAGGCTCGCTGACTTGGTTGACACATGTCATCGGTTCCCAATTGCGCAGATCGATGCTCATGCTGTTGATCACTGGATTGTCTAGTCCAGACTCGATTATTTACAGACCGCCGCCATATAGCTGGAATATTGCTGAGTGCGGAGTAAAACTAAACTCACTCACTCATTCACTTGTTTTACAAAGCGTTCACAATACTTGTAATTGGCAAGAATATGACGTTGTGATGACCGTTACTTTCCTTAACCTCGCCGAGACGCAGTTATGTAAGTACAATAACGTTTAAGGTGCGAGAGCTGCTGAATGAGTACCTACTGATCAATAATACATGCGGTAATAAACTGACATACAAAAGAAAGTATACACCTAGTATTTGGGGAATAACCGCCACTTATATAAAAGGTGTCGGATGGACACCCTCCTGATGATTTTGGTCATGATTTAGGTCTAGTCTGTTCAAGTCTGTTTTCTGAAGAAAATTTGTTCATGGGAGATAACCCCTCTGTCAAGATTTAGAGATCCTCTCCCAACAATCCAATGAAACTACTACGATCGGACGAGTTGCTTGGGTTTCAGTGCCGATTCTCCAGGGCCCACTTGTAAAAGTGAGATTTTAGCTCTACGATGGTACTTTTAACAGGCTATGATAGTCGTAGAGCTGAAATCGTTTCGTGCAAGTAATTCCAGTTATATAACAGAATGACAGAGTAATGTGGGAGGATAGCAATGAAACAATGGATAATCGAGGGTGAATTCCTAAACCACCATAAGCACCACGCACGCTGAAGATCATAACATACGCACAACCATCATACGCTCACATACGAACACACACACACACACACACACATGCCGAAGGTTCAACTTACGCAGCAGCGTTGGTCCATCTGGTGGCGTCAACCTCGTCAAAACCTGGTGTAGGGGTTGAGATCAGATGAAAGGTATTTCATTAAAAAGTCAGTTCTCGAAAACATAATATACGCATGATATAGCGTGTGAAGCCTCTTTAGCGACAGCGGATCCTGACAACTGGTAGTCCGGATCCGCAGTGTATGATAGATACCATAGAATGTCTATCAGCTACTCATATCTCCATGTGCAAATATATTATTATTTTATATGTCCGTGCTAATAGTGACACATTCATAACATACTAATCTCTAAGCTTATGAACACTTACCGTCATATTCTATGTAAAATCTAAATGTCTTACTAACTCGTACATGCTGTGAGTAAGTGAGTGTGGTTTTACGCGGCTTTAGCAATATTCCGGGGACATTTGAAATTGGCTCTACATTATTGCACCCATGTTGGAAATCGAACAGGGTCTTCGTCGTGACGAGCTAATGCTTTAACCACTAGGCTACCCCACCGTCCCTTGTACATGTTGTTAACACTGATATGACTCAACAGATCTTTAATCATATGTCAAAAACATTAAGGGGTATGATGCAATAGTTACACCAAAGGGTGACCGGGCAATGAGTGAGTGAGTGCGTTGGGTTTAAGGCCACAGGAAAAGTATTCCATTTACATATCAGCTTAAAGGGGAAAGAATGTACAAACTGATGTTGGTATTAGACGTTTCCCGGGTATGGTGCTCACAAAACCTACAAACATAATCGGGGCGACGCGATTCGAGCCAAGACGTTATATTTTTGGCGTGGGTAGGCAATGCAACTCTGCGCATTGAATCGCGAGACCTTAGACGATTGGGCCACCCTGAACCATGGCCGGGTAATTGGGGATGACTGGGTGAGTGAGTATGGTCTGACGCCGCTTTTAGCAATATTCCAGCAATATCACGGCGGGGACACCAGAAAAAGGGCTTCACATACTGTTCCCACGTGGGGAATCGAACCCGGATCTTCGGCGTGACGAGCCAGTGCTTTACCCACCAGGCTACCCCACCACCCCTATTTATATAGACATGGGTTTGATTCCCCACATGGGTGAAATGTGTGAAGCCGAATACTGGTGTCCCCCGCCGTGATATTGCTGGAATTTTGCTAAAAGCGGCGTAAAACCATACTCACTCTCACTCATTTTAGCTGAAGACCTCCAGAGGCTGTATCGCAATGGGGATCTGATAACACTTAAGCTCTTGACAGACAGAATACCTTTCTTTTTAAAGCTTAGTGATTACACCATGTACCCTGAGTCCATTGCTAGTTTTCCCCGCAGAGATATTGCTGGAATACTGCCAAAAGGCGTAAAGCCATACTCACTCACTCATTTATGTGATCCGATGTTACAAGAAGTTAAAAACAGAAACAGCAGCTCGAACCAAAAGTGTATGTGCAGACATTGTAAACAAAACCCAAAACTGAAATAATTCTAAAATCTGTTCATCCCACTGTCGTCCACGAGATATGTGCACAACACATGGATGACATGACATGATGCCGGGTTAGAATTGGTCTTCAGGAACCCATGCTTGTCGTATGACGCCACTAACGGAACCGGGAGTTCAAACTGGCTTACTAGTTTTACCCATGTCATCGTATCCCAAAACCTGACATAACGCATAGATACCAAGCGGGTAATCAATATTTGTCATAATTATTATCAACATAACATAGACAGTATCAGACCCGTCGGGCTGATTTCCAAATCTCCTCCTGGCTGTCTTACCTCCGTCGTCCATCTTGGATTTTCTTAACACGCTTCAGTTCTTCAACTAGAGACACTATCCATAAAGATATGTCGAACACGGTGCTCAATAGAAATACAATAAACCCAGACGTACTGTCAAGCGGCCATATCACGGCATGTTTTTACTTGTCAGAACTGTCGCAGTTGCTGGCGAGTTGCCAAGAGGCCCTCTATGGGTTGACTATAGTGGATTTATAATCGCGTCAATGACACGTGTCTGCATTCATTCACGGTCCTCTTCTGTCCACAAAAAAATGTTTCAGATGTCTTTTAGTGCCGTGAATAAGGTTGAGAAGCCGTTTTCGGATGTGTCGAATACTCTGATAAGCCGAACTGACCAAACTGGATCTGAATCCAGTTCAACTCGATCTTCACTTGTGCAGTTAACTACATCAAACTGACGGATAGAACTATTTTTTGTCACGGGCATTTGCTGAATAATTCAGTCGAACGAAGTACGGTTATAACGAAACTAACATGATCTTACAGGGGTGATTGACAACGAACAACATTCCCGCGGTTTAATTGTAAAAGAGTATTGTTTAACGTTGCTTTTACAATACTCCAGAACCAGCACGGCGTTGTGCATCGGAATTGGGCTTTAGTCATTAGACCCAGGTAGGGAATCAAACCCGGATCTTCGGCGAATCTTTTCAAACATTGATATTAACTAATTACAGAATTCCATTTTGTTTCACGGAAGTAGAAACGTGATTTATTTTCGTGTACACTTCCCCTATAACAACTACTGCCCCTTATAGTTAAAGGCGTGAATTGGCCAGTTATAATATGATCGACATGGATTTTAACCTCTTTATTCTTTCAGTTAGGTGTGTGAGTAAAGATGAAAGTACCATTATCACACATGCGGTATATAAACATGATATATTTCCCAGTTCTAGATTCATAAGTAGTGTGTTCTAAGTACGGGACCCGTGAGGATCCGGGCTAGAAGGGTCTTCTGCAACCAATGCTTGTAAGAGGCGACTAACAGGATTGGGTGGTCAGGCCCGCTGACTTGGTTGACAGATGTCATCGCATCCCAGTTGCGCAGATCGATGCTCGTGCTGTTCATCACTGAATTGTCTGGACCAGACTCGATTATTTACAGACCGCCGCCGTCTAGCTGGAATATTGCTGAGTGCGGCGTAAAACAACAACCAAACCAAATCCGAATACGGTCCTATTAAAGTCATTCTCTACACTCTTGGTATCAAGAGACGTGTGAGGTGAGGGTGAGGTGAGGTGAGGTGAGGTGAGAGTGGGTTTAACGTCGTGCTTGAGAATATTTCGTTCGTATGACGACGTGCATGTGTATGTGTATGTGCGGCTGCTTGTACTAGCCCAGACTGAAGCTGGTTTTATAGTGCTAGCCCACTGAGATACCACGCCGCAGTGAAGCATGAATACCCCACTTAGACACATTATACTGACTCCGAGCCGACCAGTCCTTGTTGTACCCATTAATGCCGAGCTCCAGGCAGGGACCAACAAGTACCATATTTAAACGTCTTTTGGTATGACGCGGTCGGGGATCGAACCCGCGACCTTCCGCTCTCCGGGCGGACGCTCTAACCACTAGTGTTGGGAATTGGTTAAAATCTCATATTTGATGATTGGTTCATTACAACCGATCAATCATCGAAAATGATTGGTTAGCGTCATTTATCAAATGTTCCTGTTATCTTTGTTAAAGCACACACACAAAATAAAGAAAAAACATGTAGTAATTTGGGTTTTGCAAATTGCACAAAATCCATTTACAAATTTCGCATATTTAAAGGATGATCAGTATGTTAGGAACACAGATTTTCTGGATTCTTTAAGATAAATTCAATCATGACTTGGAACGAGCTTGTAGTGCTTATGAAATGTAAATTTAATGACACAGACAAAACCAGCCTTGTGAAAAATATTGTTAATGCAAACAAGTGTTCCAAGATTGGTTGTGTTTGATTATGAGAAAACATGTTCGATTGCTTGGTCGTTTAGACTGCGACCAATCTTCGATTATTTCAATTAATCGGACCACCACTACTAGCCACTACACCACGGAGGCGGTCTCAAGAGACGTGTCCCTGTGGGACTTAGATTATACGGTTGTCCTGTGGTTGGATATTATTAATACCACCTATCGCTATATTACTCAGCGGTAAAGGCGCGTTTGTCACGTACATTTACGTTAAGAAGCAGCCCACCCCTGGGGGTAAGTGTCTTCCTGAATGATAAGCGGATCAATAAATCTATATGGTTTACTTATATAACACTCACATGATCCACATATAGGTCGCCCCGTCGTCAGCTTATGCCACGATCGTAAGATCTAGTGCTTACAACTGATTATTACTGATTTAAAACTTTGTTTGGGAGTATGTGTAACTTGAGAGTTCTGATGTTCTACCTAAGAAGTCAGCTGATTGGTACAGTGGGTTCGCTGTCTCCCCGAATTTCTGGGTTCGATATTCCATGTGGGCAGCAAATTTGAGAACAACCCGGAATAACGGATGATCCTTCCAGAATGAATGAGATTCTCAGAACCCGAGCGTTTAGCAAGAGATACTCAGTTTCCATTCACAGAAACACACTTTTTTTTGTAGCAAAATATTTCCCCAGCTGCTAGAACGATTACAAATGTGAGTGAGTGAGTTTAGTTTTACGCCGCTTTTAGCAATATTCCAGCAATATCATGGCGGGGAACACCAGACAAGGGGCTTCACACATTATCATGCCCATGTGGAAAATCTAACCCGGTCTTCCGACTGACGAGCGAACGCCTTAACCACCAAGCTACGCCACAGCCCCCGTTTAACAATGGATGACATCGGGATGCCGTTGTTTAGTACCTTTTCTCGCGACGTCTGGGCATATTATAGTATACGGCCATCTTTGATGATGGTTAATATAAAACAAATAATAAATGGCTACACGATGGTGACATTGCTTTGTTTATTGTTTCACTCAGCATTATTCGAGTTATATGGTGGCGGTCTGTAAAAACCGATTCTGGACCAGATCGGGCATCGATCTACGCAATTGGGATACGATGACATATGTCAACCAAGTCAGTGAGCCTGACCACCCGAGCATGTTTGTCGCATGAGCCTGCAACGACAAGCATGGGTACCTGATGAATATTCTAACCTGGATCTTCACGGGTCTCAATGGTGATGTGCATGTACGGGGATCATTGGTCCTGATGTTTGCAGTGCTGTGCTGTGACGACTGTTTGCAGTGCAGTGCTGTGACGACTGTTTCGGTCAAGTAACGTTTATAATTTTTGTACTGTTAGGGATAAACCAATTTTCGAGTATATACTTTCTTATGTCTTCAGTCTATACAGCCTTCCAAAGAGAGATCGAATGTCATCATCCAACATCAGAGTACAGTCTAGTCAATAACATGTGCGATTTGGGTAATGGGTAGTCTCTCGTACAGACCCTGAAGCAAATATATCCAAGAAAGCCCACACAAGTCTAGAAAATGTGGCAAGTCTAGATTTCCTCAGCTTCTGAAAATGAAGAAAGTCTCAGGGCTCCTTTTCATTATATATTTTTTTTTTTTACTATGAACTTTTTTCAGTAAAATATGTTCATTTCAGAGACTGTTGAAGAAAGTCTCAGGGCTCCTTTTCATTATATATTTTTTTTTTTTACTATGAACTTTTTTCAGTAAAATATGTTCATTTCAGAGACTAGTTGTTAGTCTAGGTAATGGGCTACAGCCATAAATATTATGCTGACTGCTTTTCTGCAGATAGATTTGATCTGCATCACTATTGTTCGTATTTTAAAGGCACAATTTCACACATTTTCAACAATATTTTGGCCTATATTATATATACTGGGGCATATGCCCTCACTTTAGCTTCATATTGATGCAGTAAAATACTTATTATCCCATACGACTTGCCTGAAATCGATATTTGAAACTTCGAGGCGAACAGATTCCAAACAGAGAACACTTACCATACATGGAATGTAAACAATTGCTCCGTACATCGAAAGCTGACGCATGCAGTGATGTCGGTGTTTGTCAACTGGTTTCAATGGCAAGTTGCGCGTATGTATTGTCTCGTTCTGTCTCCAAAGGAATGATATGATATTCTCAAAGAGCGCTCCAAGGGCCATAACTCTATGGGGTTCGCTTGAAATAATGTTCGGCCGGTAATCTTGTAATCTAAATACGTAATTTTTCAGTGGAATAAATTTTATTGTAGCTTCCATGAGAGCTGACAGTTGGTATTATGGAGAGAAAAGTATTATATATTTTTAGAGAAGTGTGGTGTGAAATAGTGCCTTTAAGCACTCAGTTTCTGAAGAAGAAATATAGCAGAAACTGTTTCTTATGTTGACCCCGCCTACCTTGGTGAAACTCAAAGTCATCTATGTTCACAAATCAAGGATCATATTTAGGACCAAACTGGGATTCGAACCCACGAGCTAATCATCTGGCACGCCTAATGGGCGTAAATGTACGTAAACTCCATATTACATGGTTTCCGTACGAACTTACGGGTATATTTGTCGCACCCTTATGAGGCCTCGCTGTGTATAAAAAGGGATTCCCCGAGGTTTCTAGGCACGCACTTTCCTCAGTAACGGCTATTAATATATCTCATAACGTTCTCAAGTGCTTGTTTGGGTATTGATATGGAGGGCGATCGTGGTCTATTGACATTGATAGACACGTGGGTTATCTCGTTCCAAGAAATAAACGAGAAATACGTACACAGTAACTGTTGAGTCAGGTACGTCAGGTACATCAGATCAACAGCCTTCATTGTGACAACTGGTGGCAGCGCCTGAAATATAGGTCAGTCAATCTACGCCGTTCGCCTGTATTATAATCGATGATTTCTTAGTTTAATTTATCAGTTACTTCCGGTTGGGTTGTCGGTGCAACAGGAAAGGAATGATAACATTTCACCTGTGTTGATTACATTCGTCACAACTGGTTGAAGTCATAGTGGGTTTAAGTGTTGATGTTCACCTGGATGTTTGCGTTCCTTTGTGTGTAATGGTTATCCTTTCAATGCGTGTCATTATGACCGTATGTTAATTTGATTGGATGGTTGTAAGATATTTTTGAGTATCTCTTTTGTTGCAGAATCACAGCACGGCGCTAGCACTATGGCAGGTAGGTTTCAATGCTGGAGAGTGAGTGAGTTTAGATTTACGCCGTTTCTAGCAATTCCAGCAATATCATGGCGGGTGACACCAGAAAAGGGCTTCACACATGTGGGGAATCTAACCCGGGTGTTCGGCGTGATGAGCCAACGTTTTAACCACTAGGCTACCCACTGCCCCGATGCTGGAGAGAATCATATTAGGAAAACCAAACAAGTGGGCAATACTGTAAGCACCGAGCTATAGACGCCATCAGGTCACGGTGACACACAGTCAGCCCTACACTGTGACTATCCAATCCTCGAGTCGCTCCTTAGAGCGTGTGATTCTGGCGATCCGTACAGACCCAGAATTCCCAAAGGAAATGAACAATGAGTTATGTCCCTTTCATCATGCACAGGTCCTCGTACAGTACCTATACCCAGACCCTGGAACTAATTTATCCAATGAGTCCATGCAAGTCTATAATATTCTAGATTAGTCTAGATTACTGCAAATGAAGAAAGTCTATTGGTTCCTTTTTATTATTTTGCAAGATAATTTAAGCACTTTTTATTTACTGTGTAATAGTGGTGATCCGATTAATTGAAATAATCGAAGATTGGTCGCATTGACTAAACGACCAAGCAATCGATCATGTTTTCTCATAATCGAACACAAACAATTCTGGAACACTTGTTTTCATCAACAATATTTTCTATAAGGTTGGTTTTGTCTGTTACATTTCATAAGCACTACAAGCGTTCCAAGTCATGATTGAATTTATCTTAATGACACCAAGAGATTTATGTTCCTAACATACTAGTCATACTTTAAAGATGTGAAATTTTGCCCCAAACCCCAAAATAACTACGTTTTTTTCCTTATTTCTTGTGCATTAACAAATTTCATAAATGACGCTATCCAATTATTTTCGATGATTGATCGGTGGTAATGAACCAATCATCAATTATGAGCTTTAAACCAATTCCCAACACTATGTGTAATGTGCTCATTTCAGAGACTACACATTAGCCAGGCCAGGGATAAATGGTCAATACAATATATGTGTGAAAAGCTACTAATTGTTATGTTTCATATTTGCACGCCAGGATCATTCAATGTAAGCAATGCTGAAACTGCCTTGCCAAAGCAGTTTGATATATAGCGTACTACTAAAGATCTTTGTGTGTCCATACTGAGAAGATCCGGGTAATAACTGGTCTTCAGAAACCCATGCTTGCCGTAAGAGGCGACTAACGGGATCGGGTGGTCAGGCTCGCCGACTTGGTTGACACATGTCATCGTATCCCATACTGAGATTTTATATACGACGTGTATATATGCTACAGAGGTTTCAGCTGGGTTAAATATGTTTTGCTGAAGATGGACCTAGCGGGAATTAAAATATGTTAGTTTAATTTTTCAAAACTTTATTATTTGTTTCAGATTCATATGATGAAACGGATAGCAGCTATATGTCGAAAACGAAGATCAACTGTACGGGGTAAGATATTCAACAGTAGCTTAATAATATTCCCCTCGATTACGGATCTTGAATTGAAACAGTCTTGACACAATTTTCATTGCGAAAAAACAAAGTTTAAAAACTGCTGCATGGTCGCGTCGAGTGAGTGAGTGAGTGAGTTTGGTTTTACGCCGCTTTTAGCAATAGTCCAGCAACATCACGGCAGGGAACACCAGAAATTGTACCCATGTGGGGATTCGAACCCGGGTCTTCGGCGTGACGAGCCAACGCTTTAACCACTAGGCTACCCCACCGCCCCTGGTCGCGTCGAGAACAAAGCTGACAAGAAAGAGGCTTTGTTGGGTTTCCACCATCCACCATCCAAAGCTTCGTTGTCTATAAGTAACATAATCGAGATGTTATACACTGTAAAGCAAAAAGGTCTCCGTCTAATAATAATAGTTGAGTTCATTCAATTGACTCCTAACCAATCGGTGTGGAAATTTATGAATACCCAGTGTGTTATGGGGAATTACCAATCATCGGTAATCAGTGAATGACAAATGGTGTTAATCCCTAACCTTTGGCCAGGTCCGGGTGTTCCGTATGTAGATCAGGGTATTCTACAGAATCCATGCTGACGTTATTAAAGGGAAAATGAAGTAATATTTAACATATGAAATGCCAGACCTTCAGAGAAAATTGGCTGAAGCCATCCTAATGTCCAGAGGTTCATTGCGAAATTCATATTTCGAATGTCAACAACGTGTAAAACTTAAACTGTATAGGATTATTCCCATCTAAAGTTGTTGAAACACAGAAAGTCCGAATGAGTATAACTATGATTTATTAATTCTGGCTGCTTGTATATACACTATATATTCTATCTGTCTGTCCACTAAATTCTAATCAATTGACGTCATATCGTGACGTCATGAACAATGGATGACGCAAATATCATATCGCATTTGTGTCCCAACAATGAAGCACTGTGTAAAATTTCTAAGAAATGTGGACCTTCAACTGACCAATCAGAATCGAAAATCGGTCAAAAAAAATGCACTCGTGCAAATATCGGAAAGTTATTCACTTATGCTCATCCTTTAGTTTTTTGCGTGAAGAGCTTTTTTTACAAGCATAGGTATTATCGCCCGCTTTTAAGCGCTCGTGACTGAGGAATTCACTGCTTCACATGATTTGTTTCGTCCAACATAATTACCCACAGATTCAGGAAATCCAGGTGGGAACCATATAATGGCATTGATGGCATATATGGACCATTCTACTGGGTCCTGCAAACGTTGCTCCCAGTGCTCATTGAATGCTCTTGATTTTGATGGAGAAAGTATTCCATTCTCACAGAAAGTAAGCGATCTTGGTGTCATCCTTGACTCCGACCTCTCTTTGGATGATCACATACCACATCTCTCTAGGATCTGTTTTGCAGCTCTACGCAATATCAGTTCCATTAGAGCAACACCTGACTATAGATTCGGCAAAACTCTCACCTTATGCCATGTAATGACCTGCCTGGACTGTTGTAACTCTCTCTAGCCGGGGTGCAAACAAATCCACAAAATCCAGAGACTTCAACGAATCAAAAATGCTGCGGCACGTGTCGTGACTAAATCGAAGAGGTTTGACCACATCTCTCCCATTCTTCAATCTCTTCATTGGCTTCCAGTCGAGGAACCGGATCCGCTTTAAACTCCTCTGCCTCACCTACCGCTGCCTGTCTGGATGCGCTCCTGCTTATCTCTCCAATCTTCTTATGCCATATAAACCAGCTAAGATCCTTTGTTCTCAGGACCGAAAACCTTCTGCTTGTTCCTAGAGCAGATCATTCGCCTACGCAGCTTCAACAGCCTGGAATGATCTTCCCTCTCTCTCCGGGACACAAGTGACTTCTCTGGCTTCCGATCAAAACTGAAAACTCACCTTTTCCTGATGTCTTCCAACTTTGCTGAACTCTGAGGCATACTTCCAGTATGGATATATGCACGTTAGAAATGCCCTATTATTACTATTATTATTATAATGTGGTCAAATACATAGTGTGAAGATGAAGGCGAAAGTGGAACATAAATGCATACAAGCCATGTGCTATGACTGAAGAGTTGGGCGCTGTACTAAAAGACTTTGCTATCACATATTTGGTTTAAGGAATCTTTGTGCCGGAGGATTTTGTTAGTTGACGCACTGCACTGGTACTTTTTTATTAAACTGGTGCAGTGTGTGTGTACCAGGAGAGGTCATCAGTGGCGGTATATACGTAGCGCTGGTGTAAGTTTGTTTCTATTCACAGGCCAAGGTTTATCATTTTGAGCTTTGTATCATATGTCAGGAAACCAGTCAGTCTAAAATACCTTCTACAACCAGACAGAACTGGGCATCTAATCCATCTTTGAGGCCACCCAGCTCAGGCACAAATTGAAACATTGCAAAGTTCGGTTATCTGTAGACAGGCTTTCGTTCCTCTTTGAAGAATCTCCTGACGGCAACCCTAATCTAAAATGGCACAAACTCTGTTCTTCAGCATACACACATTAGGGAAAAATAAATGTAAGGCTTGCCAAGGAACAGTCCAATGCTTCACAAGGAAATGAACAGACTGGTGTTTCAGATGAAGGACACCGCTTTTTACGCAGGGGTACTTCAACAGTGGATTTGTACACAAATGCAAAATATGTACACAAGGCCTTTGTACGTATTGTAGACGTGAATGCTATTAAGTACAGCCTCGATCCTTCAGTCATAGCACATAAAATGGCTTGTATGCATTTATGTTCCACTTTCGCCTTCATCTTCATACTATGTATTTGACACATTATCGGATAGGGTTCCCACCTGTTCCTGTGATTTCCTGAACTGTTCTGAGGGTAATTATGTTGCTAAGATCATAAATCAAACTCACTGCATGAATGAAAGCAGTTTTATTTGACATGCATGTGAAGCAGTATCAAAGCATTCGTGTGGCATACATGTAAAAATGCCTATCGCATCCTGTCACACTCATTAACCTTTGAAGTAATTATGCGCTTAATATGCGATTTTTGTGATCTAAACGGTTTGCCTGGAATATAATTCTGTCAACAAAAGGAAAAGATTCAGCCTTGCTTTGCATTTTGAGCAAAAATGCTTGTAAAAGTAGCTCTTCACGCAAAACTAAAAGTCGCTCCATAAGGGAGATATTTGTAAAAATACGAATTTTTTCCTTCACCATTTCCATGAAATCCAACATTTTGAAATCCTGTGGTACCATTATTAATCAATATATTGTAAACTGAGTTCATTGTATGGATGGAGAATGATAAATAAAACACTTTTTAAAAAAATTGAATTTTGCACTCATTGACCTTTGACCCCAATTTGTGACCTAATTAGGCATTTTTGAGCTTAGCAAACAACTGATTCATATTCAGCACGAAAAACTACCCCAGAAAATGTTGTTTGCTTGCTTTTACTCAAAAATGCCTCATGCATTCACATTTCTTAGAAATTTGACTAGTCTATATACACGATACATATGTCTTAGCTAAGTCCCTGGATTGAAACAATACAACCACAATTAGCGCTACATGATCACGAGTTTAATCATATATGAGTTTGTTCTCGCTGTTTCATAGAATTTCTCCGTGATGCATGTTACGGTAATTATCTAGCATGCCTTGAATTCTTTTCGGCCATAAACTTTTTTATGGGAATATTGTGATTGTGCGCGTAAACGTTCACCTCTTGTGGCAATTTTCCAGTAATATCACGGCGCATACACGAAGGATAGACATGCGTAGCGAAAAGGCATACTTTGCTAGTTCCATTATTGTATCCTAAACCATTTTCAGTATTTATTTTTCTTTCAGGAAAGGCAAGTCTAATGACTGTAAATTACCTTACAACCCCAGTATGTCCTCTGAATGTGAACTCAAAGAGTATGACGTCACCAGAAACGGGAGGAAACTCGCCGTCATCATCAACATCACGGACTTTGAAAGCAAAACGGGATGCCCCAACGCACACACGCAAAGACGGATGAAGCCGTCATCACTAACATGCTCGAACAGCTGCTAGGGTTTGAGCTTTTCCCTAAAGAAAATCTGACATTACAAGATCTCACTGATCTCTTCAAGGAAAGTAAGTACAAACTCAAAATTGTTATCAATCTACAGACCCGTGCAAAAGTATTCGGACTCTTGACGTAATTTCCAAAGACTTACATGTCATTTCAGTGTAGCATAAACAATTTTCACGAAGTGAGTTAAGGATGGATCTTTGTCAAATTTGACGAAACAAACTTGAAATCATCTCTGCTCTGCGTACATAATTTCAGTTCAGTTTTCCGACCACTAATGACATCACATTTATCAACTTACGTATGGTTCCACAATGCACAATCCCATAGGCCGCCATGTAAAGGAGTTCACGGCACTGTACATCTTGATTAAATTGTTGCCATTCGATAAATAAGCAACGGAAAATTAAACAGAAATTATGTGATTGTGGGGAAAATGATTCCTCACAAATATGCAAAATTTGACTTGGATCTTACGAAAATTAAATTCATGAAAATTATTTATGCTACACTAAATTAACATGTAAGTCTCTGGAAATTACGTCAAGTGTCTGAATACTTTTTGCACGACTCTGTATGTATCCACGTCTCGAGTCCATCTCATGTACGACCCGTGAAGATCCAGGTTAGAATTGGTCTTCAGTAACCCATTCTTGCTGTAGGAGGCTACTAACGGGATCGGGTGGGTCAGGCTCGCTGACTTGGTTGACACATGTATGTCATCGGTTCCAAATTGCGTAGATCGATGTTCATGCTGTTGATCACTGGGCTGCATGGTCCATACTCGATTATTTACAGACCGCCATCATATAGCTGGAATATTGCTGAGTGTGACGTCAAACAACCAACTAACCAACAAACCACTCATGTCTAGAGTGACGGGAACATCTGGTCTGTTTCAGCTTTGAACTGTAGATCAGTTTCTGGGCTCCTGAGAAATCGTTCTGGAGGTATATATTTTTAAACAAGATAACTTTCTTGGACTGAATGTCAGACTAAAAGAGAAATTCTGTTTGGTCAGCGAGCCTGACCACCCGATCCCGTTAGTCACCTCTTATGACAAGCATGGGTTACTGAAGATCAATTCTAATCCGGATCTGGAGCCACGGGTAATTTTCAATATCACAGAACAGAGGATATAGCGATCAGCGTCTGTCCTACTGTATCATTACATAACAGATCAGTTCATGCAGACGCCATGTGTTTCCATCCAGTGCGTACCTGGGACTACAAGAACGTGGAGACGCTGGCCGTTGTCGTGATGTCGCACGGGAACAACAGGGAGATCTACACACATGACGGTCAGAAGGTTGAGATGAAAGTACTGCTAGAGAACCTCAAAGGCAAGAAGTGCAAGGGACTAGCGGGCAAGCCGAAGATTGTGTTTATCAATGTAAAGCATTTATTCATTTCAGATAGATCAAATATCATCAATACTTCTCGGGTTTGTTTACACTATGACAGTCCGTGAGTTGTCACGTGATGTCTTTACAGCTAGCAGACGACAGTGGGATTACAAGAAACAGGATAATTTCATTGGATCACAATTTCTACATGTCCATATTTGGTTCCTGCTGGGTTTTTTTAACCTTTTAACATCGGATCATATCGATGAGTGAGCGAGTATGCGTTTTTCCGCAGATTTAACAATATTCTGGCAATATCAAATAGGGAGATACCAGAAATGAGCTTCACACGTTAAATCCATCTAAGAAACTGAACCCAGGACTTCCCTGTGTCCAGCGAATTCACTGACACTACCACACCTCTCCAAACCCGTGGGGGTATTGGTGATATCTGACGTTATGGGTAATGTCAGATCCTTGATGCGAAATAGCTTGATTTGATGAATGTTTGATGCAGGCAAACATATCCTGCTGCCAAAACCTCAAGGAAAACATTAAAAACCTGCATTGTGTGTATTTAGAGGGAGGTTTCAAATATTTCTGAAACAAACTAAATATTTTGGGATTAAAATATATCATGTTGTCAATGAGTGAGTGAGTATGGTTTTACGCCGCTTTTAGCAATATTCAAACAATATCACGGCGGGGAACACTAGAAATGGGCTTCACACATTATACCTATGTGGGGACTCGAACCCGGATCTTCAGCGAAACGAGCGGGCGCTTTAACCATTAGGCTACCCCACCAGCCATCATTTTGTCAGCAGTGCATTGATTAATAGGACATAAACATGACGTATATCATGTTATGTTTAAGTTTGTTCAAAATGCATTTGTATAAATCAGAATATGTAGGATGCATGTACTACCACATGCATAAGAACATCTTGGTATATATCAACACAGGCGGGCAGTTGGGAAGAATCTCCTGAAGATCTGGATGGTGATTACGATGAGGTTGATGCATGCGTCACTAGTAATGAGGAGACAGAGCCCAAAGGAAAAGACTATCTGTATCCCAAAGGAGTGTGACTTTATCCATGTATACTCTCCAGTCACATTTGGTAGGTATAGCTGGGGATCTTATTACTCTTCCTATCTTATCTTGACTTCCATCATTGACATGGGATGATTTTCTTGTCGTTTCATTTGGTCTGTCTCGTCTTGACATGGTCAAACCATGTGTCTTGATATCTTGACCCACTTCCGCATGTATGGCAGGGTGCAGTGTTTGTGCGATATCTTGCCGCGGATCTGTGCTCATACGTATGGCCATGGTGTCTGTACAAGACGATGTCACTAATGGAATATAACGATGTGTTTCAAAATGTGGATGTAAAGACGTTTGCAATATGTAAGGTTGGAAATAGGAATATTTGTCAGAGCTTCAGGAAACGCAGAGGAAGGGATGTTATTAAGATTTTGATAATCATCATCTTCAGTTACTCCTATGAAAGGAGTGGAACAATTGGATAGTGTGGGCTAACAAAATATAATAAAAGCCAGCCAAACACCCCAATGTATTGGTGGGAAATTATTTCTAGTAAGTATAGAACTATCAAATATGATCCACCCAAAAATAGCTAAAACCTTTTCATCTTCAAGGTCACCAAAAGGCTGGCAATGTGGAACAAGGGAACATATTCCTGACAGCTCTAAGTGAGATGTGCCTCAAACTGGACAGTGAGCCTCTGGAGTTCTGTGACATGCTGACAAGAACCAACAGACAGGTGGCACACCGAGTCAGGTCAGCTTCCAACATCCCAGCCAGACCCTGCTTCTTCCTGTCAACTCTCACCAAGGAACTCTACCTGACCCCCAATACATAGACAACAAGATGGAGGGTATACACTTTATGCTTACAGTCAGATGGGAAAGCCTACAGCTCTGTTGTGTGTACACATTTATCAGACAATATGGATTCTCCTGGCACCCAACACACAGACACCAAGGTGAAGGTCATATATGTGATGCTTACAGTCAGGGGGATTCTGTGTTGACCCAACACATAGACACTAAGGTTTGCAAGCTGGGTATTGCTTTTCAGTGATGCAGTCAACAATATTACTACAGCTTGTAAATAATCAAGTCCAGACAACCAAAGCTGTAGTTGATATTTATGAAGGACCTTTATGTTTGCAATGAAATATATGTATTTACTTCTAAGAGGCTTTGCTCTCTTCAAAAGACATGAGTGGCATGATCAATCATTTTGTAAAGAGTGAATACTTATTTTTGGTTTCATATTTTCATTCATCTTCTCAACTTGTATCTTCTATTTTTCTCATCTTAACAATCATGAAGTGTGAAAGCATATGAAAATAAAGACATACTTGTATTATATTTTCTTATGGTGGTTTCTAGTCTGAAAGAATATAGGTGTTGCTGGAGAACTCCACCATTTGGTCAACGATCATGGTTCATGGTGTGTGTGTGAGTTTAACAAGTACCTCATTCCTATCATGGTGTTTGAGGTCTTACATGCTTAGCAGTTTGGTAAAACCCACAAGCACTGGAATCATTTATGGTGCTGATGAACCACCAAACAAAATCAGGAAGAATCTTGAAGTGTGCCTTTAGTCACAGACTTCTGCTAATTGCGGTACCATCGATGGCTTGGCCACATGTGCCCATAGAACCTTAAAACTCTAAGATCCCTTGTAACGAAATTAAATCTTCACTGTGAAATGCTGCCTTCCCTTCTGGAATCAATCTTGAATCCATTGCAATCACAAGTTTGACACTCATCTAGAGAAAGATTCTGATTACTTGTTCCTGCCATGATTCGTCATATTAGAATTGTTTGTTTCCATGGTTATAGGTCCAACAGTTGGCAAAATAAACTATCACATCCATTCTTTCTGTAAATGGTAAAGTGTATATCACCACAAAATAGAAAACTCCTTCAAACTGAGTGTTTGAATATTTATCATTCATATGTACAGGTATTTCACATTTATACAAGGAGTATGACAACACAAACCTCAGATCTGTACACAATAAAACAGAGGAGGAAAGAGAGAGAGACAGGAGAGAGAACAACAGGGAGGAAATCCAGCTCACCAACACAAACTGGGACAGAATAGTGGACATCAGTGAAGATTATTATAATGCTATCTACATGACAAGTAAATGCATTGTCTTGGGCTGAGACAGGTAGAAACTTTGGAACTGGGTACCCGAGGTTGCATTACCCTACCCATTTACTTATGTGACAGTTAATGTGACTTTGGCGCTTGGTGACCTGTGAAGGTCTGGGTTAGAATATTGATCTTCAGTAACCCATGGTTGTCGTAAGAGGCAACAACAGGGATCGGGTGGTCAGGCTCACTGACTTTGTTGACACATGTCATCGGTTCCCAATTGCGCAGATCGATGCTCATGCTGTTGATCACTGGGTTGTCTGGTCCAGACTGTGAGATTATTTCACAGACCACTGACATATAGCTGGAATATTGCTGAGTGCAGCGTGCAACTAAAACTCACTCACTCACTTTGACGCTTGGTCATACTTTGGTTTAAACTCAGAAACAAATGCAACTTGCCCAGTGTGGAACTGATTTTTAAAGATAGTGGCATGTCCTCTATGTGGAAACACCTGGCTTCCTAAACATATGATACTCAATGGAACAGCCACATAGGCCAAGGCAGCTGCTGACGCTGTTAAACCAGTCCCAGAGAATTCAGTTTACAAAATGGAACTTGATAGGTGTCACCTTTGTCGCCTGGCAATAAATCATTTTAGTGAGTAAAAATACGTGAGGCTATGTGTATTAATCAAAAGATTTCTTCTGTGAGCATAGTATACACTTATTTCGTTGTTGATGTCATATATTTGCTTTATTTAAAACCAGAAATTCCAAGGATTTATGTTACATTCTAATCTACAAAAGATATCCCCAAATAATTGACTAAGTTGGTTATTATTGTGACATTCAATCATGCATGAATGTTTTGATATTATTCAAATAATGTTCACTGTTTTGCCTAGTCATTGTCAACATGGTCAGTGAAACTACGAAAGGGTTTGATTGGTTGAAAGAGACACACCCTGCCTCAATGCACCATTTGTCGACAATGTAGCACAAAGCAACAAAGCCTGTCCTGTCATCTCATTTTATGATTGAAGAACAAATTATTTACTCGACCCGAGTACTGTGATAACCCATCCCAGCCCTCGAGTTATCCCAGTCCACCATTCCTTCACTAGAAGTCAGTAATAAGTCAGATACATTTGAACAATGCCACAAAACAAAATCACATACATACATGTATATATATCCATCATATACCACAAACAAAACCTACAATCTGTAAACTGCCAGCTAAATATGCTGCATTGTATTCCTGTCCTAAATCATACACACTTGGAACGATATCTTGTCTGGAATTGCTCAAACACACAAACATGATTTAAATGCAACTGTATACAATCTGTTGTTAATGCATTATATATGTGGTCTGGTAAAAGTAGCACAGCCACCATGGTAAACATGCAATTCATTAGTAAACATGTCATGAAATTATTACGAAATGTGATGCAAAGTAATAAAGATGTGATGTGGGATACCTTCAACAGGGGAGGTAATTTGCAGAAAATGAATTCATTTGGACTGTGTAATGGCAACCATCTGCTGGTGCCTCTGTTTCCCCTAAACTAAACCTCTATCATGTATGTGTAGGGTCCCTTGGATGGGTTTCCGTCCATGCCCTTTCTGAGACTGTTTAAGGGCAGCTATCTGCTGGTGCTACTGTTTTTCCCTGAACGTCCCTAATTTAAATCTCTAAGCGTGTATGTGCATGGTCACTTGGGTGGGTTCCCCGTCCTTGCCCCCACTGAGACTGTGTATAAGGGCAGCTATCTGCTGGTGCTTGTCTATCTCGCCTGCTGATTTGCCAGCTTGTCCTCCGCTCCTTCATGGCATTCTCCTGGTCCTGGACAACAGCTTCCAGGGACACCATCTGATAGATACAAGTCATGACATAATTTCCCTTTCAGGTAAATGTATAGAGAGAAGCAGCTTTAGACACTATATGAAAAAATGACATACTCCTTACCATCAACTAAAACTCAAGCTCTTGGCACTACTACAGTGATGTTACTCTTGATACAACCCCCATGCTGTAGCTTTTGACAATCCAATCCACAGCTCTTCACACTTCCCATGATGCTAATTAGAGTAAGTGGAGTGAGTATAGTTTACACCGCACTCAGGCATATTCCACCTATATCACAGCATATGGCGGGCGGTCTGTAAAAAATGTGCCTGGACCAGACAATCCAGTGATCAGGCAGCATGAGCATTGATCTACACATGAATTGGGATACGGCTTTTATGACATGTCAACCAAGTCAGCAAGCCTGACCACCCAAATCTGTTATTTTGCCTCTTATGACAAGCATGGGTTATTGAAGATCAATTCTAACCCGGATCTTCACAGGGTTCTTCTAATTAGAATATTCAGTTTACACTCACCTCCACACTGCTGATGGGGAAACACTCACCTTATGCTGCAGGTCCCTTCGAAACTGCTCGGCTCGCTGTATGTCTGTCCGAGCTGGTCCACAGTCAGCTCCATCTTGTCCTTCTCTCCTCTTCGGTGGTGCGCCTCGCCAACACCTTCTTCAGCTTCTCATCTGTTTTCTGCAGTGTCTTTGTCAGGTCTCTTGGATACACAACATAACCATGGGCATTACATGAGAGACAAGCACCTATTCCCTATCTACAATAGTCACAACCTAACTTGTTACATGTACAGATTTTGTCAAGTTATTTTGTCACTGTATGAGGAACCCACCTGTTAGTTTTGTTTCTTTCTCCTTCAGTAATTTTGAAATCTGCTTCCTTTCATCTTCCAACTTCCTTAGATGATCAGTGGTCCTAAATATAACCAATCAAAATATTTGCATGTTTTCCAGTTAACACTTGGTAAGAGAATCAGCGGTAAGCTCCATTGGTCAAATCCAACTTAGCCATGCCCAATTCAGACTAGCAGTTTCTGTAAAATCACCTGACTTGTGTAGAAAACTACTGAATCGCTTTGAGATTTGTCACTAGTTCACATCAAAGGATGTTTCATGCAGAAGTCTGCAGTTCCACATTGTTGGCTGGAAACCAGCACCTACAGCAGCTAGCATGCACACTTGACCAGGTGTCAAAACTTGAACACACCTTCCCATGCACACCTGAAGATGTTTGGGTGAGATTAAACACAATTATATTGTACCACAAAGCTTTGCAGACCATTGTCATATCATCGGGTTACAATGAGGTCACAATCAAATGATTAATCAAATCGACTAATCTCTCGGTCCCTAAAGCTGGTTAACTGTATTTTATTCTTGTGAAGCAACTAGTTATTACTTTTAAAACTCGGAAAATAAGGAAGGATGATTTTGATTGTAAATTATAATCTCAACCTTGTGTATGTCTTTTAATATCAATTATATAAACAATTGTGGATAAAAGCTTTAAGGCAAATCTCTTCGACTTCTAAACCTTTAACTGACTTCCATTGACTGATGCTTCTCATATCATAAGACACAAGGGTGAGATCTTCTATCCCCAACATATGACTCACACATCATGTTGCTGCTTGAGACTCTCATGGTGTTTCTGCAGCATAGTCGTGCATCTCCGACATGGTCTTGTGTTCCTGCTGGAGGCACAGCAGGCTGCGCTCACTCTTGTCATGCCTGCAGAACATGGACAGTTCAAATAATTCTTAGAAGAATGAGAGTTAATCAACTAACCAGTGTCTGTGAGACCTAAATAAAGTCAGAAAGTGTCAGTTGTTTCTTGTTGCTATTTATCACACCAGCATTTTGATGGCAGTTTGTAAATAATCGAATAGTGGTTTCTAGTCTGAAAAGAATATAGGTGTTGCTGGAGAACCCACCATTTGGTCAATCCATCATGGTTCATGGGTGTGAGTTTAACACAGCTTTGACAAGTACCTCATTCTTGCTCATGATGTTGTCTAAACTTATGTTTGAGGTCTTACATGCTTAGCAGTTTGGTTAAACCCACAAGCACTGGAATCATATATGAATGCTGACAACAACCACCAAACAAATTCAGGAAGAATCTTGAAGTGTGCCTTTAGTCACAGACCCTGCCGAATTGCAGTACCATCGATGGCTTGGCAACATGTACCCATAGAACCTTAAAGGCAGCTAGATCCCTTGTTCACGAAAATGAAATCTTCACTGTGAGTAAATGCTGTGCCTTTAAGTCTACAGACTTCTCGCGAGTTGCAGTCCCATTGATGGCTTGGTCACATGTACCCATAGAACCCTTTAAAAGCGCTTAAGATCCCTTGTATAACAGAATTAAATCTTCACTGTGAAATGCACCGCCTTCCCTTCTGAAATCAATCTTGAATCCATTTGCATCACACAGAGTTTGACACTCATCTAGAGAAAGATTCTGATTACTTGTTCCTGCCATGATTCCTCATATTAGAATTGTTTGTTTCCATGGTTATAGGTCCAACAGGTGGCAAAATATACTATCAAAATCCATCCTTTCTGTAAATGGTAAAGTGTATATCACCACAAAGAAACTCCTTCAAAGAGCTGAGTATTTGAATATTTATCATTCATATGTACAGGTATTTCACATTTATACAAGGAATATGACCAACACAAACCTCAAGATCTGTACACACAATAAAACAGGAGTGAAAGAGAGAGAGACAGGAGAGAACAACAGGGAAGTCGAGCTCACCAAGCACAAACTGGGACAGAATAGTGGACATCAGTGAAGATTATTATAATGCTATCTACATGACAAGTAAAATGCATTGTTCTTGGGCTGGGAATGGTAGAAACTTTGGAACTGGGTACCGAGGTTGCATTACCCTACCCATTTTACTTATGGCGACGAGTTAATGTGACTTTTGGCACTTAGTGACCTGTGAAGGTCTGGGTTAGAATATTGATCTTCAGTAACCCATGGTTGTCGCGTAAGAAGCTGACTAGCGGGATCCGGGTGTTCAGGCTTTCGCTGACTTTGTTGACACATGGCATGGTTCCCAATTGTTGCCGAATCGGATGCTCATGCTGTTGATCACTGGGTTGTCCTGGTCCAGACTCTATGATTTACAGACCACTGACATATAACTGGAATATTGCTGAGTGCAGCGTAAAACTAAACTCACTCACTCACTTGGCCCGCTTGAGTCATACTTTGAGGTCTAAACACAGAAACAAATGCAACTTTGCCCAGTGTGGAACTGATTTTTTAAAGATAGTGGCATGTCCTCTATGTGGAAACACCTGGCTTCCTAACATATGATACTCAAATGGAACAGCTTACATAGGCTAAGACAGCTGCTGACGCTTGTTAAACCAGTCCCAGACAATTCAGTTTACAAAATAGAACTTGATAGATGTCACCTTTGTCGCCTGGCAATAATTCATTTTAGTGAGTAAAAAACGTGAGGTTATGTGTATTAATCAAAAAGATTTCTTCTGTGAGCATAGTATAAACTTATTTTCGTTGTTGATGTCATATATTTGCTTTATTTAAAATCAGAAATTCCAAGGATTTATGTTACATTCTAATCTACAAAATATATCCCCAAATAATTGACTAAGTTGGTTATTATTGTGACATTCAATCATGCATGAATGTTTTGATATTATTCAAAATAATGTTCAGTTTTGCCTAGTCATTGTCAACATGGTCAGTGAAACTATGAAAAGGCTTTGATTGGTTGAAAGAGACACACCCTGCCTCAATGCACCATTTGTCGGCAATACCGTAGCACAAAAGCCTAACAAAGACAGAGCCATTTTGTCCTCATTTTTATGATTGAAGAACAAATTATTTACTCGACTCCGAGTACTGTGATAACCCGCTCTCAGCCCTTGAGTTATCCCAGTCCACCATTCCTTCACTAGAAGTCAGTAATGAGTCAGATACATTTGAACAATGCCACAAAACAAAATCACATACATACATGTATATATATCCATCATATACCACAGAACAAAACCTAAAATCTGTAAACTGCCAGCTAAATATGTTGCATTGTATTCCTGTCCTAAATCATACACACTTTGGAACGATATCTTGTCTGGAATTGCTCAAACACACAAACATGATTTAAATGCAACTGTATACAATCTGTTGCTTAAATGCATTATATATGTGGTCTGGTAAAAGTAGCACAGCCACCATGGTAAACATGCAATTCATTAGTAAACATGTCATGAAATCATTACGAAATGTGATGCAAAGTAATAAAGATGTGATGTGGGATACCTTCAACAGGGGAGGTAATTCGCGAGAAAATGAATGCATTTGGACTGTGCAATGGCAACCCATCCGCTGGTGCTTCTGTTTCCCCTAAACTAAACCTCTATCATGTATGTGTATGGTCACTTGGATGGGTTTCCGTCCATGCCCTTTCTGAGACTGTTTAAGGGCAGCTATCTGCTGGTGCTACTGTTTTCCTGAACGCCCCTAAATTAAATCTCTAGCGTGTGTATGTGCATGGTCACTTGGGTGGGTTCTCGTTCCTTGCCCCCACTGAGACTGTGTATAAGGGGCAGCTATCTGCTGGTGCTTGTCTATCTCGGCCTGCTGATTTGCCAGCTTGTCCTCCCGCTCCTTCATGGCATTCTCCTGGTCCTGGACAACAGCTTCCAGGGACACCATCTGATAGATACAAGTCATGACATAATTTCCCTTTCAGGTAAATGTATAGAGAGAAGCAGCTTTGTAGACACTATGAAAATGACATACCCCTTACCATCAACTAAAAAACTCAAGCTCTTGGCACTACTACAGTGATGTTACTCTTGATACAACCCCATGCTGTAGCTTTTGACAATCCCCCAATCCACAGCTCTTCACACTTCCCATGATGCTAATTAGAGTAAGTGAGTGAGTATAGTTTTACACCGCACTCAGGCATATTCCACCTATATCACAGTATATGGCAGCGGTCTGTAAAAAATGTGCCTGGACCAGACAATCCAGTGATCAACAGCATGAGCATCGATCTACGAATTGGGATACGATGACATGTGTCAACCAAGTCAGCCCGTGAGCCTGACCACCCAATTCTGTTATTTGCCTCTTATGACAAGCATGGGTTATTGAAGATCAATTCTAACCCGGATCTTCACGGGTTCTTCTAATTAGAACATTCAGTTTACACTACCTCACACTGCTGATGGGGACACACTCACCTTATGCTGCAGGTCCCTTCTGAAACTGCTCAGCTCGCTGTATGTCTGTCCGGAGCTGGTCCACAGTCAGCTCCATCTTGTCCTTCTCTTCTTCGATGGTCGCTTTCTCGGCCAACACCTTCTTCAGCTTCTCATCTGTTTTCTGCAGTGTCTTTGTCGTCTCTGATACACAACATAACCATGGGCATTACATGAAGACAACACCTATTCCTATCTACAATAGTCACAACCTAACTCATTACATGTACAGATTTGTCAAGTTATTTTGTCACTGTATGAGGAACCCACCTGTTAGTTTTGTTTCTTTCTCCTTCAGTAATTTTGAAATCTGCTTCCTTTCATCTTCCAACTTCCTTAGATGATCAGTGGTCCTAAATATAACCAACCAAAATATATGCATGTTTTCCAGTTAACACTTGGTTAGAGAATCAGCAGTAAGCTCCATTGGTCAAATCCAACTTAGCCATGCCCATTTCAGACTAGCAGTTTCTGTAAAATCACCTGACTTGTGTAGAAAACTACGAATCGCTCGAGATTGTCACTTAGTTCACATCAAAGGATGTTTCATGCAGAAGTCTGCAGTTCCACATTGTTGGCTGGAAACCAGCACCTACAGCAGCTAGCATGCACACTTGACCAGGTGTCAAACTCGAACACACCTTCCCATGCACACCTGAAGATGTTTGGGTGAGATTAAACACAATTATATTGTACCACAAAGCTTTGCAGACCATTGTCATATCATCGTGGTTACAATGAGGTCACAATCAAATGATTAATCAAATCGACTAATCTCTCGGTCCCTAAAGCTGGTTAACTGTATTTTATTCTTGTGAAGCAACTAGTTATTACTTTTAAAAACTCGAAAATAAGGAAGGATGATTTTGGATTGTAAATTATAATCTCAACCTTGTGTATGTCTTTTTAATATCAATTATATAAACAATTGTCGATAAAAAGCTTTAAGGCAAATCTCGGACTTCTAAACCTTAACTGACTCATTGCACTGATGCTTCTCATATCATAAGACACAAGGGTGAGATCTTCTATCCCCAACACATGACTCACACATCATGTTGCTGCTTGAGACTCTCATGATGGTTTTCTGCAGCATGTCGTGCATCTCCGACATGGTCTTGTGTTCCTGCTGGAGGCACAGCAGGCTCAAGCTCACTCTTGTCATGCCTGCAGAACATGGACAGTTCAAATAATTCTTAGAAGAATGAGAGTTAATCAACTAAATCAGTGTCTGTGAGACCTAAATAAAGTCAGAAAAGTGTCAGTTGTTTCTTGTTGCTATTTATCACACCAGCATTTTGATGGCAGTTTGTAAATAATCGAGTCTGGACTAGATAATCCTATGACAGACAGACATGCAACAATATGTTCCATTTGGGATACAATGACATGCATTAGACAAGTCAGCCCACTTGATCCTGTCCATCTCCTGTTACAAGCATGGGTTGCTAAAGACCAATTGGAACATAGATCTCTATGAGGGTTAGAGTACCGGTATGTTATAGATAAATGTCTTGTGATTATAAATGTGACATTGCAATGTGATGAGCTTTCAAACACTGTCATTACTTCAGCAAGAGGATACAGAGGTTCTAGAATGAGCTGCCATGTGCTTATCTTAACCCTGTACCCTGCTTAGCTCTGAAAGTGCTGCCCCCAATCAGCTCCTCACATTCTTGCTGACTTCAGCTCAAGTCCTGCCAAGAATACAAGCAACATGGTTCTCATAACTAGTGATCTCAAACAACTTTCCCCAATACCTAGTGTGTATCTCTATAACCACCTGTGCTTATCTTCACCTAACCTCTGCTTATCCTCATTTCTGTACCTTCCTCAATATAATACCTTTGTTATCTCATAACCCCTGTACCTTCCCACATAATACCTGTGCTTATCTCACCTGTGCTTAATACCTGTGCTTATCTCATAACCTCTGTACCTTCCCCAATAATACCTGTGCTTATCCTCATAACCTCTGTACCTTCCCCCTATAACACCTGTGCTTATCTCCTAACCTCTGTACCTTCCCCAATATTACCTGTGCTTATCTCCCTAACCCTAATGATTTCTGTACCCCATGTGCTAACTTGAACCTCACCTTGTGCTTATCCTTAATGACTAACACCTGTGCCTTATCTTCTGACTTTCCCCTTAATAACACCTGTGCTTACTGAACAGTGTGTCTCTACACCTGTACTTTCCTCTATAACACCTGTGCTTATCTCATGACTTCTGTACCTTCCCCCATAACACCTGTGCTTACCTCATAACCTCTGTACCTTTCCCCTAATAACACCTGTGTTTATCTCCATGACTTCTGTACCTTCCCTAATAACACACCTGTGCCACCTCTAACTTTTCCCCATTATAACACCTGTGCTTACCTCATAACTTCTGTACCTTCCCCAATAACACCTGTGCTTACCTCATGACTTTTGAACTTCCCCCATTACAACTGTACCTTCCCCATAACACCTATGCTTACTCCTTAAAACCTCTGTACCTTTCTGTAATAACATCTGTGCTTATCTCATGACTTCTGTACCTTTCCCAGTAACACCTGTGCTTACCATATAACCTTTCCTCAGCAACACCTGTGCTTATCTCATAACTTCTGAACCTTCCCTATAACACCTGCACTTACCTTACCACATGCTCACCCTCATACCCTCTCTGTACAATAACATCTGTGCTTATCTCATGCTTACCTTTTCCATCATGTGTACTTCTGTACCTTTCTTACCCAATAACAACACTGTGCTTATCTCATGACTTCTGTACCTTGTGCCCCTATAACACCTGTGTGTACCTTTCCCATAACATACCACTTAACACCTGTGAACTCATTCCCTTCCTATAACACCTGTACCTTACCTATAACACCTGCACTTTTTACCTCCTATAACACATGCTTAACCTCTGTAATTCGGCTTACCTCACCTCATAACTTCTGAACATTCCCCTATAACACCTAACTGCTGTACCTTCCCCTATAACACCAGTGCTAACTCCTCTGCCTCAATGTCCAAATCCAATGTCTACACCTACAACTCCTGTGCCTACCTCTGTAAGTCCTGTCCCTGTTGATCAAACTCATGCTGTAGAGTTTCACGCCTCCAGATTAAGTGTGTTAATCTGCTCCTGATACTTCTCAGCCTTTCGGCCAGACTCCTGGAGTAGCAGCGCATCTTCTGTGTCTGTAACACAAAGACGCCAGTTTAATATTTTTCTAAACACAGAGATACAATGACAATGGTAGATATACAGAATGTATTCACCTCGCCTTCACACCTGGCCTGCCTGGCCCTGTACTGAGCTATGAGTCGGTCAGCCTGAGCTACAATCATTACAAGGACAGATATACAAAACAACTCACCTCGCATTCATCCCTGGCCTGTCTTTTCCTGTACTGAGCTATGAGTCGGTCAGCCTGGGCTACAATCATTACAAGGACAGATATACAAAACAACTCACCTCGTGATTCATCCCTGGCCTGTCTTTTCCCTGTACTGAGCTATGAGTCGGTCAGCCTGGGCTACAATCATTACAAGGACAGATATACAAAACAACTCACCTCGCTTCTTCATACCAGGCCTGTCTGGCCCTGTACTGGGCTATGAGTCAATCAGCCTGAGCTACAATCATTACAAGGACAGATATACAAAACAACCCACCTCGCCTTCATACTTTGGCCTCCTGCCTGGCCCTGTACTGAGCTATGAGTCAATCAGCCTGAGGTACAATCATTACAAGGACAGATATACAAAACAACTCCACCTCGCCTTCATACCTGACCTGCCTGGCCCTGTACTGAGCTATGAGTCAATCAGCCTGAGCTACAATCATTACAAGGACAGATATACAAAACAACTCACCTCGCCTTCATACCTGGCCTGTCTGGCCCTGTACTGAGCTATGAGTCGGTCAGCCTGGGCTACAATCATTACAAGAACAGATATACAAAACAACTCACCTCGCCTTCATACCTGGCCTGCCTGGCCCTGTACTGAGCTATGAGTCGGTCAGCCTGGGCTACTGCCATGGTCTTCGCCTCCAGCAGATTTTCTAGATGCTCCTCCTTAGTCTACAACACAATGAGTTTTCTATCAGATACAGTATTTGTAGTGAACAGATTTAGGGAAAAGGTCAATGAAACTAAGTTCAAACTAAGCTAAATCTGGGCAACTTTATGCTCTTCTATGCTACTGTTCTCAGTAAATAAATACAATACAGACTGTCACACAAATTTTGGCCTTAGCATCCAAGGAAGTTTGGTCTTTATGTTGGTCAAGAGGAAATAATAATAACAGATTAACTATGTTCATTAACTTTTTCAGAGTGGTATTTGATTTACATCATTATCATGGAATATATGCTGGTTGTGCATAGATTAGAATTACCTGTAGTGTCTGAAATCTGTGCTCATATATTTCAATGATATCTGAGGCTTTGGTGTCCTTCACCTGTGATGGAATAAATCAGGCATACAATAGATCATATAGACTCACATAATAAGCAAACAGAACAGGTAAAGATAATGAGTCAGTGAGTGTCAGCAATATTAAAGCTGTGTCAAGGTGGCAACGAGACAATTTGGGACAGACAAACAAGGGCCTGACAGCAAGTACAACCAACCATCTCAGGCCCAGATCTCCATGGGTGCCCAGTCAAGTAGGAAGTGAATGAGTTGTGCTGTACCCCACATTACACATTTTCAAGCCATGTGAAGGCAGCGCACACTAAGAATGGGACTCAAAACCTTTTATCCAAACGGGACAGAACCTGGGCCTTCAATAAGAGTGAGTGAGTTTAGTTTTACACCGCTTTTAGCAATATTCCACCAAATCATGGCAGGGGACACCAGATATGGGCTTCACACATTGTACCCATGTGGGGAATCGAACCCGGGTCTTCGGCGTAACAACCGAATGCTTTAACCACTAGGCTACCCCACCTCCCCCTACAATAAGACAAAACCTCACTCCTTCCACCTGGCTACTCCACAGAATCTGGTGATGTTGCAGAGCTCAGTACGTCATGATGGATAAGAGAATCTAGCCAGTAGTGTTCACTGTTTCATATACATCGATAATGGTGATCACATGGCATTTTTACAAATTATCCTCACCTCGAGGCTAGTGTGCATCTTCTCAATGAGTGACTGTAGTGACGTGTCGATACTTTCATTGTTAGATACTGATCTCTTCATGGACTTCACCGGCACATTCTCCTTGTTCTCCAGGCCACGCTTGATTGACTGGTTTGAGTGTTTTGTCGGAGTGACTGTGACACTGGAAGTAGATGACTTGCTGGTCTCTTCCGCCTTCTTCACGTTCATGGCAGCCACAGCATCACCCAGACTGGGAACAGTAATAATGATGGCGTGAACACCTTCACATTCACTAAGCATTACCATAAATATCTCCCTGATGGTCAGCTACAAGAATGTGTTAAATGTGACGTGACCTATTACCTATGTCTCCTATAACTCTTTGAGGACTTTGATCTCCAGTAAATGCTTCATGAATAATCACACAAAGGAAACATTTCTTCAGGCTATCACCTTGAGGGTGGCCTTACTTGCTGACAAGAAAGATGAATCTGACAAAATGATTCCAGGGCTATTATCTATTACATATGGCATCTCCGAGTGGTCTGAGCACTTTGATTTCAAAACCGAAATGCTTCACTTGCAGTAATCAAATTTCCAAAACAAAAATGCACCGCTTTTTAACATGAAACTGCTTAAAAGCATGATCAGAAGTGAATCATTGAAAAATGAAGAGAACAATCTCTGCTGACTCACATGACGTCGGGAAGTTCTCCAGGGTTGACCCCTGACACACCAGTCGGAGTGCCAGCTGTACCGTGTCACTCTTCTCACACACTAGCCCTGATGCCAGGAATGGAGCGGTACGACTATCCTGAAACATGAAATACCTCGTCACAGGTAAATTCATGACCTCTTCACAACTGATGATGAAGTCTACATTATACAGATTCACATTACGCTTACAGATACCACAAATAAATTACAAATACTCACAACTAAAAAATTGCAATGGATTAAAGAATGTCAATATACAACCTATGTTGTGTAATGTGATCACACTGAGATGATGGGAAACATGCTAAAACAAAGTGTCACGTCTAGACAACTGATCGATTTAACATGTACCAAGTACTGCATGCTTGAAGTGTTTATTCAGTTCACAAAGAACTCTGAATCAAACTCAGATAAATTGTCCTAATTGTCATGCTCAAGTTCAGAGTCCAGCGTGGAAATGTCAGCGATTTCATTGATTTATAGACTAAACAGGGAATGTTGGTGCTAAATTTGATCTGCTTAGACAAAAGTAATGCTGCAACAAGTTCTGTGTGTTTTAGCATCACATACCTGGAGAAGCCCGTGATGTACACTTCCATGTCCCTAACATATCTCTTGATCTTGGTCATCAGATGCATACACACCAGCCCACCTCTATGCCTGCCTCACTGGAAACACAAGGAGCGCTGTAATAGCAGTGCCAGCTGACCACCTCTCCATCTTTAACTCATCACGAAAAGGTCCTAAAATACCAATGATGTTCTACAGGCTATAAAAAACATGAAAGGAAAGACATAATACAATTTGGCACAGGGATGCACAAGTACTAAATTTTGCCCTGTTAGTTGTTTTACAGCTATCGACGATACCTGTCTGCAGATAACTGAATCTAGGTCAGACAATCCAGTGATTGACATCATGAGCATCAATCGACACATTTGGCATCTAATGACATGCAATCAGGCAAGTCACCAAGTGTGTCTACTCCATCCCTTCAGTCTCCTCTGATGATCATCAATCATCCCCACAAATACTGAGAAAACATCAGCAGTGTGTAACTCCAGTCACAACCTGTGAAGATCTGGATTAAAATTGATCTTCAGTAACCCATGCTTGTCGTAAGTGGGATTAACGAGAATGAGTGGTCAGACTTGGCTGACACATGTCATTGTATCCCAATTGTGTAGGCAGATGCTCATGATTTTGATCACTGGATTGTCTGGTCCAGACTCGATTATTTACAGACCACCGCAATATAGGTGAAATATTGCTGAATGCGGCGTAAAACTCACTCACTCACTCACCTCCAGTCATCCCGTTCTGCGGGGCCAGGTTTAGGATGCAGTATCTTATTGTTGTTGAGCTGGAAGTTGATGATGGTCTGGAACAGGGGTGTGTCGACCAGGTCCACCAGCGAGCCCCCTTCAGGTCATCCTCACTGCACAGCACTAGACACAGAGATGTCATTGAACCACTAGACACAGAGATGTCATTGAACCACTAGACACAGAGATGTCATTGAACCACCAGATACAGAGATGTCATTGAACCACTAGACACAGAGATGTCATTGAACCACTAGACACAGAGATGTCATTGAACCACTAGACACAGAGATGTCATTGAACCACTAGACACAGAGATGTCATTGAACCACTAGACACAGAGATGTCATTGAACCACTAGACACAGGGATGTCATTGAACCACTAGACACAGAGATGTCATTGAACCACTAGACACAGAGATGTCATTGAACTGACTTTACTTACCATGAATAGTACAACAGTTTGCATTGCACTGCAGCATAATGATAAAGAAATGCCAAGGTAAGTTAGTGGTAGCTTTCATCACAGTCTCACATACTTTGATCTCATGACTATCAGGTCTTCTAAAAGTGTTCTGCTCTTAGGGTTTATAAACAAGTCATGTAGACTTATTCAGCTCAATTTGAGTATGGACCTTACAGTAGAAACTTTTTCGTTGTGATGTGGTCATCAAAGTTAAAGTTAAACTATTTGACAAAACCATTCAAATTTATAAAATGACACTGTAAAATTGGCCCCTGACCCATTTATATCTAAAAATGTTAAAATAAACTAAAACAGTAATATTAGGTTAAGGATGTGCTCCTTTCTCATTCTGTGCTCCTTCTCTCTGGAACTGTCTTCCTTTTGATATCAAAACTCCCCCATCTTTAGCTGTCTTCAAGTCCAAACTTAAAACCCATCTCTTCTCCAAGTACTATCCTTGATACCTCCGGCTTTGAGCAACCACAGCGGATGGAAAATAGCAATATAAATGCACTTATTATTTTTTATTATTATTAAGGATGCAATAATAGTATCAGAATAAATCAATTGAGTATTCATGATTGTGTTGTTTCTGTGACTGCTTATATAACAGTTCTAAGCAGCATGTCCATGGTCATTCAAGGATGTAGCATATCCATGGTCAGGATTTCACTGGCCTACTATGTGCAGGTAATCTACAGCAGAGATGTTACCACTGACCTGTGAGAAGCTTCACTGCCTTGACCACCTTGTTACACTTCCTTCTGACCAGTGTGTGGCGTCACCCTCTACACTTGACCTCAGCATGTCCACTAGCACTGGCAGTAGCAGGTCGGTGGATACACAGGTCCGGGCTCCGATCAGAGTACAGCACCTCCTGCACAACAAGGAGTGAGTGAGTGAGTTTAGTTTTACAATCGCTTTTAGCAATATTCCACCAAATCATGGCAGGGGACACCAGATATGGGCTTCACACATTGTACCCATGTGGGGAATCGAACCCGGGTCTTCGGCGTAACAACCGAATGCTTTAACCACTAGGCTACCCCACCTCCCCCTACAATAAGACAAAACCTCACTCCTTCCACCTGGCTACTCCACAGAATCTGGTGATGTTGCAGAGCTCAGTACGTCATGATGGATAAGAGAATCTAGCCAGTAGTGTTCACTGTTTCATATACATCGATAATGGTGTTCACTTGGAATTTTTACAAATTATCCTCACCTCGAGGCTAGTGTGCATCTTCTCAATGAGTGACTGTAGTGACGTGTCGATACTTTCATTGTTAGATACTGATCTCTTCATGGACTTCACCGGCACATTCTCCTTGTTCTCCAGGCCACGCTTGATTGACTGGTTTGAGTGTTTTGTCGGAGTGACTGTGACACTGGAAGTAGATGACTTGCTGGTCTCTTCCGCCTTCTTCAAGTTCATGGCAGCAACGGCATCACCCAGACTGGGGAACAGTAATAATGATGACGTGAACACCTCCACATTCACTCAGCATTGCCACAAATATCCCCCTGATGGCAGCCACAGCATCACCCAGACTGGGGAACAGTAATAATGATGACGTGAACACCTCCACATTCACTCAGCATTGCCACAAATATCCCCCTGATGGTCAGCTACAAGAATGTGTTAAATGTGACCTGACCTATTACCTATGTCTCTTATAACTCTTTGAAGACTTTGATCTCCAGTAAATGCTTCATGAATAATCACACAAAGGAAACATTTCTTCAGGCTATGACCTTGAGGGTGGCCTTTACTTGCTGACAAGAAAGATGAATGTGACAATGATTCCAGATATTTCAGTCAAAGCGATCAGCGCCACGACAGTCGTAGTCGATGTTAAAGTATGGGAGTTACGACTGTCGTGAGCGCTACACGATCGCTTTGAGGAACGGGCCCAGGGCTAATATCTTTACATATGGCATCTCCGAAAGTGGTCTGAGCACTTTGATTTCAAAACCTAAAATGCTTCACTTTGAAGAAGTCAAATTTCCAAAACCAAAATCCATCGCCTTTTAACATGAAACTGCTTTAACAGCATGATCAGAAGTGAATCATTGAAAAAATTAAGAGAACACACAATCTCTGCTGACTCACATGACGTCAGGGAAGTTCTCCAGGGTTGACCCCTGACACACCAGTCGGAGTGCCAGCTGTACCGTGTCACTCTTCTCACACACCAGCCCTGATGCCAGGAATGGAACGGTACGACTATCCTGAAACATGAAACACCTCGTCACAGGTCAATTCATGACATCTTCACAACTGATGATGAAGTCTACATTATACAGATTCACATTACGCTTACAGATACCACAAATAAATTACAAATACTCACAACTAAAAAATTGCAATGGATTAAAGAATGTCAATATACAACCTATGTTGTGTAATGTGATCACACTGAGATGATGAGAAACATGCTAAAAACAAATGGTCACATCTAGACAACTGATCGACTGACCCGTGAAGATCCGGGATAGAATAGGTCTTCAGCAACCCATGTGCTTGCCATAAAAGGCTTACTATTATCTTGTCGTAGAAGAGCTTAATTAACGGATCGGTGGTCAGTTTCGACTTGGTTGACACATGTCATCGGTTCCCAACTGCGCAGATCGATGCTCATGCTGTTGATCACTGGATTGTCTGGTCCAGACTCGATTATGTACAGACCGCCGCCATATAGCTGGGATATTGCGGAGTGCGGCGTAAAACTAAACTCACTCACTCACTCACAACTGATCAATTTAACATGTACCAAGTACTGCATGCTTGAAGTGTTTATTCAGTTCACAAAGAACTCTGAATCAGCCTCAGATATATTGTCCTAATTGTCATGCTCAAGTCCACAACGTGGAAATGTCACGCCGATTTCATTGATTTATAGACTAAACAGGTAATGTTGGGGCTAACTTTGATCTGCTGAGACAAAAAGTAATGCTGCAACAAGTTCTGTGTGTTTTAGCATCACATACCTGGAGAAGCCCCGTGATGTACACTTCCATGTCCCGAACATATCTCTTGATCTTGGTCATCAGATGCATACACACCAGCGCCACCTCTATGCCTGCCTCACTGAAAAACAAGGAGCGGCTGTAATAGCAGTGCCAGCTGACCACCTCTCCATCTTTAACTCATCACGAAAAAGGTCCAAAAATACCAATGATGTTCTACAGGCTATAAAAAACATGAAAGGAAAGACATTATATACTTTGGCACAGGGATGCACAAGTACTAAAGTTTTATCCTGTTGGTTGTATTATAGCTATGCGATACCTGTCTGCAGATAACTGAATCTAGGTCAGACAATCCAGTGATTGACATCATGAGCATCAATCTGCACAATTGGCATCTAATGACATGCAATCAGCCAAGTCACCAAGTCTGTCTACTGGATCCTTTCAGTCTCCTCTGATGATCATCAATCATCCCAACAAATACTGAGAATACATCATCAGTGTGTAACTCCAGTCATCACAACCTGTGAAGATCCGGATTAGAATTGATCTTCAGTAACCCATGGTTGTCGTAAGTGGGATTAACGAGAATGAGTGGTCAGACTTGGCTGACACATGTCATTGTATCCCAATTGTGTAGGCAGATGCTCATGATTTTGATCACTGGATTGTCTGGTCCAGACTCGATTATTTACAGACCACCGCAATATAGGTGAAATATTGCTGAATGCGGCGTAAAACTCACTCACTCACTCACCTCCAGTCATCCCGTTCTGCGGGGCCAGGTTTAGGATGCAGTATCTTATTGTTGTTGAGCTGGAAGTTGATGATGGTCTGGAACAGGGGTGTGTCGACCAGGTCCACCAGCGACGCTTTCAGATCATCCTCACTGCACAGCACTAGACACAGAGATGTCATTGAACTGACTTTACTTACTATGAATTGAATAGTACAACAGTTTGTATTACACTGCAGCATAATGATAAAGAAATGCCAAAGTAAGTTAGTGGTAACTTTCATCACAGTCTCACATACTTTGATCTCATAACTATCAGTCTTCTAAAAGTGTAAGCTGTGAATGTGGTTCTGCTCTTAGGTTTATAAACAAGTCATGTAGACTTATTCAGCCCAATTTGAATATGGACCTTACAGTAGAAACTTTTCGTTATGATGTGGTCATCAAAGCTAAGTTAAACTATTTGACAAACCATTCAACTTCATTTATAAAAATGACGCTGTAAAATTGGCCCCTGCCCCATTTATATTTAAAAATGTGAAAAAAACTAAAAAACAGTAATATTAGGTTAAGAATGCAATAATAGTATCAGAATAAATCAATGGAGTATTCACGATTGTGTTGTTTCTGTGACTGCTCATATAACAGTTCTAAGTAGCATATCCATGGTCATTCAAAGATGTAGCATATCCATGGTCAGGATTTCACTGGCCTACTATGTGCAGGTAATCTACAGAAAAGACGTTACCACTGACCTGTGAGAAGCTTCACTGCCTTGACCACCTTGTTACAATTCCTTCTGACCAGTGTGGCGTCACCCTCTACACTTGACCTCAGCATGTCCACTAGCACTGGCAGTAGCAGGTCGGAGTGGATACACTGGTCCGGGCTCCGATCGGAGTACAGCACCTCCTGCACAACAAGGAGTGAGTGAGTGAGTTTAGTTTTATGTCGCTTTTAGCAATATTCAAGCAATATCATGGCGGGGACACCAGAAATGGGCGTCATACATTATACCCAAACCCGGGTCTTCGGTGGGACGAGCGAATGCTTTAACCACTAAGCTACACCACCACCGGGCCTGCACAACAAGGAACTTATCTAAGTAGAATCATGTTTGTTCGATGTTTCTATGTGCTTGCTCAGACTTATGGCACAATCAGGCAGTAACTGTGCCATACCCCAACACTCCACCCCTACCCCAACACATACACATACCAACTACAGTTCACATCAATGTGTAGGAATTATCAAAGGGTTGTCATGTGATTTGACTGTTTTATTGCACTAGAGTACAGAGAGCGAAGAAGCAATAATAGAGAGTAAATATCACTTATACATGTTGTAAGAAATGTATTCATTCTTTGACAAGAAAAAACTCTCAACCTGACAACACACAGCTAACACAAACCTCATAAATCTCTGTGAGCAGATCCAGGGCATACAGTGATGCTGTGTCAGATGTTTCCACTGTCTGCATGGCCCAGTGGACGATGGCAAACAGTGGTTCAGACTGACCACTGACTGGACCCTTGAGTGCATTCCGGTAGTGGTCAGCTGACTGCAGTCTAGGGGCACTGAACAAGGTCTTGCAGATGGACGTCCTGATGGTTCCCAGAGTACAGAAACTGAGCAATAGCTCAAACAACTGTGAGTGGAAAGTGAGGCAGATTAACACAGAAGCATGTGTGTCTGAGAGTGAGGGCAGATTAACACAATATGTGCATCTGAGAGTGAGGGCACATTAACACAGAAGCATGTGTGTCTGAGAGTGAGGACACATTAACACAGGGGCATGTGTGTCTGAGAGTGAGGACACATTAACACGGGAGCATGTGTGTCTGAGAGTGAGGGCACATTAACACGGGAGCATGTATGTCTGAGAGTGAGGGCACATTAACACGGGAGCATGTGTGTCTGAGAGTGTGGACACATTAACACGGGAGCATGTGTGTCTGAGAGTGAGGACACATTGATCCAGGGTCATGTGTGTCTGAGAGTGAGGACACATTAACACAGAAGCATGTGTGTCTGAGAGTGAGGACACATTAACACAGGAGCATGTGTGTCTGAGAGTGAGGGCACATTAACACGGGAGCATGTGTGTCTGAGAGTGTGGACAGATTAACACGGGAGCATGTGTGTCTGAGAGTGTGGACACATTAACACGGAAGCATATGTGTCTGAGAGTGTGGGCACATTAACACGGGAGCATGTGTGTCTGAGAGTGAGGGCACATTAACACGGGAGCATGTATGTCTGAGCGTGTGGACACATTAACACAGAAGCATATGTGTCTGAGAGTGAGGGCACATTAACACGGGAGCATGTGTGTCTGAGAGTGAGGGCACATTAACACAGAAGCAAATGTGTCTGAGAGTGAGGGCACATTAACACAGAAGCATGTGTGTCTGAGAGTGAGGGCACATTAACACAGAAGCATGTGTGTCTGAGAGTGAGGGCACATTAATACAGAAGCATGTGTGTCTGGGAGGGTAGTTTGAGACAGGAGCATGTGTGTCTGGGAGGGTAGTTTAAAACAGGAGCATGTGTGTCTGAGAGGGTAGTTTGAAACAGGAGCATGTGTGTCTGGGAGGGTAGTTTGAAACAGGAGCATGTGTGTCTGGGAGGGTAGTTTAAAACAGGAGCATGTGTGTCTGAGAGGGTAGTTTGAAACAGGAGCATGTGTGTCTGGGAGGGTAGTTTGAAACAGGAACATGTGTGTCTGGGAGGGTAGTTTAAAAACAGGAGCATGTGTATCTGAGGAGGGTAGTTTGAAACAGGAGCATGTGTGTCTGGGAGGGTAGTTTGAAACAGGAGCATGTGTGTCTGGGAGGGTAGTTTGAAACAGGAGCATGTGTGTCTGAGAGGGTAGTTTGAAACAGGAGCATGTGTGTCTGAGAGGGTAGTTTGAAACAAGAGCATGTGTGTCTGAGAGGGTAGTTTGAAACAGCAGCATGTATGTCTGAGAGGGTAGTTTGAAACAGGAGCATGTGTGTCTGGGAGGGTAGTTTGAAACAGGAGCATGTCTCTTAGCCCAACATTTCAGGATACCAATGGTTTCAACAACAAAAATGATTCAGTTGAAATTGTTATTTCCGCTTTGATCAAACCTTTAAGAGAACCTACCTTGGTGACAGTCTCTCCTGTGCTTGAAGCAATAAGGCTCAAGGTATGGTTGATGCATACCTGTAAGTGTTTATACCTGGAATAACACAGATTTCTGATAAACTGCAAGCAAATTTACCTACATTGACAAATATTACATTCATCATCAAAAATTACTCTTCCAGCAGAACATAGAGAACCAGTTGCTGAACCAGAACATAAAACAGAACATTCAACTGTCAATAAAGAGGGTTTTGCTCCTCTGTTTTAAGAGAATGTCTTGATGTTGTTATGGGAGTCGTCAGAGTTTCAGAAAACGCTCATCTTGTTGCATACACCAGGTACATTGAATTCTGTATGCTGTTTTTCTTACCTCTGTAGGGAGTTCTGTATGCTGGGTTTCTTAAGCAGATCCTGGAAGAGGTCGACAACATACAGACGTGTCACACCAAAGTCTCCGTTCACCAAGATGTTGAAGATCAGCTTTAGAGTCTCATTCACATTCTCTGTGTTGAAAATCTGGTGAAAATACACTTCAGCTATATTGATAATAGTTTACTGCATTTCAATCTGTCCATCTCAGAAACACATGTAAGAAAGTGACATTTAACTTTCAAACATGAAATGTTTTCACATCGACTTGACAAGATTTTGCTGTAAAAGCAGTGTGAAAGTACATGAAAGAGGAACATAGCTCTCTAATGTTGACGACTGAAATTCAAACGTCTAAAACATGCCAGCAGTAAATGGACAGTAGTGAGTTTGGTTTTACGCCGTTTCAGCAATATCACGGCAGGGGACACCTGAAATGGGCTCAACAGATTGTACCCATGTGGGGAATCCAACCCGGGTCTTCAACATGAGGAGCCAATGCTTTAATCACTAGGCTACCCCACCGTCCTAATTGACAGTAACACAAAACCTGTCTAAAGTTGACCTACCTCCTGGCCAATCTCTTCATGAAGACACAGACTGGTGAGAACACACATGCTGAACACAGCCACAGTCAGGTTCTTGTCGGAGATGTAAGTGCACAGCATCCGCATCAGGCGTTTAAAGTTCTCCTACAATACAGCCATGGCATTGTTACGACAGCCTTTATAAGATATAACATAACATTTCACTCGGATGTTTTTGAACGACGTTGTTTTTTTCCAAACTGAATCTATTTCAAAGGAAGTAATCCAATGAAACCATAGGCCAGAAGGCCCAAAGTAACTCATAATCATTTCCATTAGTTACGACTTATGTGCACAAAACATCCATGACATTAGGATTACATGGATATTTCTGAAAGTGAGTGCACAGTGACTACTTTTAAATCTCAAGAAATCAAAGTTTGAAACTGCACTGATCACTATTATCCTGTCAATTTCTATTTTATTGACTATCTTTCCAAGAATTCCCAGGAATATGCAGCTAAAGGCAGGCTTCTGTGTGGGGACGTACCAGACCCTTGACATACGACTGGACTGTGTAGTTGTCTCGAGACAGGTTGGCCAACAGGCCCAGACACGACTGGGTGATCTCGTTGGGAGTCAACCTGAAACAGGTCATCGTTCAAACTGAGAAAATTACTATCAGTATCATCACTTTGGTAGGTAATTATACAACAGAAGAGAGTGTGTTGCAATCTAACTGGGAGAAAAGAGATACTACATAGGGTTTTGAAAACTGTATACTGTGGTAAATATTTTTCTTTACAGTCTCAAATTTAAAAAGTGGTCATGAAGCATAAGCAGGATTCGAACACATTACCATAGATTTCTGATGTGCCCAAGAGATGAAATTTAGCACAGCCGCTTTAACAACTGGGCCAATCATGCTCGCCTCATATAGTTTAACACAGCCTTATGACAATCATAGAAGTGTCAGAACCCAGGATTGCCCAGGACCGCACTGCTACACTACAATTATAGCACAGGCCCTCGTGTCTTTGCGAAGATTGAAGATTAATATTTGTCTTTGTGTTTGAGATGACCCCTGACTCGAAATGCTTCACAGTACAATACATTATGACAAGGCCGGACACTTCGGTGCACCCGACCCAACTGCTTTGCTGATCACTACGGTACCATCGCATGCAATCGATTAAAACTTAAAGGTCACATGCAACCCAAAAATCAAACATAATTAAAACACAATTATCACTTATTCATGACATATAATATGCATTGCTGGTTATGAAAAAACATATAAAGAAAATTATAAGCGTACAATCGCAAATCAAAAGTGCAATATTGTGTACTTCGGTTTACTTCCCAAGAAACGAAGCAGCCGGGATACCGAACCCAGTCAGAGCGGGTGGGTGTGCACTCAAGTGTAACGGCTGGTTCATTTGCAGATGCCCTCACGGCTCATTGTGTGTGTATATATAGAGATGTTGGGTTTTGTAAATACATGCTCATTTTTGGTGTATAACATTTTGCAATCAACAGACATCATAACATGTCATGTGTACAAGCATCACACCTGCCTGTCTGTGTAATTACATAATGTGACAGAGACCGAACTCGGGCCAAAAATCAATGCATTTTGTTTATGGTGTATAGCCTGATTGGTGTTAAGTTCAAATTGCATGTGGTCAGTGATAGCAGCTGTGTATTGAATATTGTCATTAGCAGACAGGCAGGCAGACACACAGGTGTCAATAAACAAGACATTGAGTTTTGTCTGTGACATCAACATATCTATATCACAGTTAGAAATTCTGTCAACGCTAAATAATGACATTGCTTTTTAAGTATCGAACTGAGAAAGTGACACGGTAAGAAGAACGTGTGGTGAAATAGACAAATGAAATTATATAAACAGTTAATTTACTGTCATAACATGTAAAAGCCTCGCTACTTCGTGAGATATCAACAAAACATTAGAAAAATAGCTCACACCAAAGCCTTCACCGAAAGTATTCACCGACAACCCGCTTCCAAGCTGCGCGAACCTATTTCGCTGCGCACATGCTATGAGCGCAGCCTAGCTGTTGAAACCCGTTTTCCCCAGAAAAGTCGGGGGAAATTTAGTGAAACGTTTGAACTCCGATTTCGCGCGGGTTTTTTCATCGCGTTATTTTTCAACTTTATAAGTTGAATTTGCATTTTTGACGATTTGTTTCGATAAGTCCATACCGAAAGGTATCAGAATCTGCAAAGTTGTGTTTTACGTTGCATGTGACCTTTAATTTAAACATAATCATGGATGATTGGCCTATCGATCACCACTCATGACACCTACCAATTCTTTATTGGTATTTCTGCACATAGATTTAAACCCGATTTTGACTCTCAACTAAACGATCTTGACACAAATGGATGACGATATATCCACACAAAACGGGGGTGGTGGTCGAAGCAAGTCATCTGGTTGGTGGATGCTTTATATGTTTTTAACATCTTTAATCCTCGCAAAGACACAAGGGCCTGTGATTTAAAGTAATTTTTGTGACAAGCATGGGTTCTGGCTCCATGTGTCTGTCCAAAAATTCCAACAGAATAAGTCTTGCATTTTGTTCAGCAGTAAATTAACCTTGAGGACATCCACCAAAAACTAAGAATACAAAACTAAAAACATCATGATGTCAGCACAACTCACACTTGTTTGATGAGGTACTTGAGAAGATCTTCCATGAAGCTCTCATGGAAGCTGATTCTGTGACCATGAGTTATCTTCATCATCAGTTGCAGACACTAAAACCGTCAGCACAAGAACATTAAATACACATGCCATCTGGAAAATTGCTTCCGTATAGAAAAGATGATGTCAAGAAACAGCAAATCGGCATCAGCAGAAAGTCACTATGTCAAGATATGATGACAATCTTATAACAAGGTTGGACATCTTAACTATTCAATCCTCATTCTGCTCACTTTACAATCATGTGGCCTACTCTTCTCTAACGTTTACACAAAGTACATGAAACAACTGTTTGTTCAACAGGTTAATATTCATATGATCCATGGACCAAGCTAATAATTGTATTCGAACTTTGAACATGCTTCAACAGAAGAACACTAACCTATTACAAATATCTGTGTTATTATTATTGTTGTTGTCAGTAAAATGATCACACCACACACTAGAGAACTCTAGAAGCTTGTTGGCATTACCTCTGAGATTTATTACCCACGAGGTCAACGTGATGGGTAGTTGCATACTAATCTCGTGACGCCACACGAAAGTGTCGTGATCGCTGACCTGTGTCGTGAACGACTTGACCTGAGATTCTAACGATTTGATTGATAACCGATGACCTCTCAATTAGGTCATGTTCTGACGTAACTATTTTTTCATTCATAACAAACACGCGAATTCATTCATTCTACAACTTAAATGCATTGTGGAATGTAAACATTGCGAACGCTGCCGTGGTCGCTGTTTAATTGTGAGTCGAACTGAGACATTATATCCGTTTAAAAACATAAACGCAATGTTTCCACCAGTGATGTTAGCCAATGAAGCAACTGGAAACCAAGAAACGGGTGCTACGGAGTAGTTTACTGTAGAAGGCTGTACGAGGCGATGACAACTGACATGCATCGCGGACGCCGGTTACCAAGGCAGTGACGCCATTACAGTGTGACGCCATGCAAATATTGTACTACAGTACAAACTCTTCCGCAACCCTCTTTATGAAACCGGTTTCGGTTTGAAACCAAAACATAACAAAAATACGCTTATTTTGTCAATTTAATGCATGTAAGACGGGTAATAAATAATACCACATTACTGTCTACATTACATACGAATTATAATGAACTGTGGATCTTCCTATATTATCTGACTTCGATTCCTCGCCACCGGGTCAGATACCATAGGAAGGACACTCGCTTCAGATAATTCGTATGTAATGAGACCTCGCGGTAGTATTCTCTATATATCCATCCATACAGTACATGGCCTGATGTCATTGTCAATACTTAGTCAAGCTGTGTCTCTCAGCATCATTTGCTTGTCGTAAGAGGTAACTAACGGGATCGGGTGGTCAGGCTCGCTGACTTGGTTGACTCATGTCATCAGTTCCCAAGTACGTAGATCGATGCTCATGCTGTTGATCACTGGATTGTCTGGGCCAGACTAGATTATTTACAGATCACCACCATTATAGCTGGAATATTGCCAAGTGTGGCGTAAAACTAAACTCACTCACTCAATCACTCTCTCACCAAGCATCATTTGCAGATGGCACACAGCAGGCACAGTGGGTTCAGAGAAATTATCAGGCAAATTACAAGAGTAACATTAAATTCTGCTGTGACCAAAATGGCAACATCAATCTTCATTTGTCTGAAGCCCAACGCTAATAAAATTAAGTTTGGTCAAGTAAGCTCAGCAATTAATAGCCCATAGTATAACAATAACATCCCCTGAAAATGATGCTTTGAGTATAGAATCAAAGGATTCTCATATTAGTTGAAGGTTACCTATTTGATTGAGCACCGTGAGACACTTGAGTACTAATCCCGACTTGGACTGAGAATCGTTTAGTATATCCACGATGCAGGTAAGACACTCTGTAGCCAGAAGCTGGCGGGGATTGAAGAACTTGAGGGGCAAAGTGCGGCCTATCACGCCATGAAGAATCTGAAATACAACAGAACAATGGTCATTAGGGCTGGCTATCAATACAGATCATATAGATTGATCATCGTAAACTAAAAAACATGTAATTTTTTAAGTAAAATTGATATTTTATACTTATCCTGACTTATGATCTTTGCTCATCTCCCTCTTCTATGTGAATGGTAGTGGAAAACTTGAATCCTTTGTAGTTCCCTTAAGCAGACGTAAAAGTACACTCACCCACGAGTTACCTCCCTTTTCCCGCACAAACAGTCATGTGTCCAGCCTTACTTGTCACTCTCTCTTGATTTTTCTGCTCATGCACCTGGATCTACTGTGAAATCCGAAGTGTTTCCAGCAGGGAGGTTGGGAGGGCTTGACCTCATGAGTCAGGATAAGTAGAAAATATCAATTCTACTTAAAAAATTACATATTTTTCCTTATCCTGACTCATGATCTTTGCTTATAAAATCCTTCGGATCAGGCCACTTCCTGGATTCTGTCCTGTATCCCCCCCCCATGGGAACTGCATAACGGCACTTCCTAGATCCTATTCTTCCAACTTCCTTTATAACTCGGGGGGGGGGACCACTTTCTTGTCTTACTTCTGTCTCAGACAAGTTGAATCTTGTAGATTCATGTGGCTTGAGATATACTAGTATCTTCTTCTTACTAGTTATCTATAACAACCCATATATTATGATAAGATCTTCATCATAAATGAGTTGCGACCCCTTCATGTACAGGTAAGATCTTTACCCGTACAGAGTCTTAATCACTCATGCTAGTCTGGCCTAGACTGTGAGCATGGACTTTCAAACTAATACTTTTTCCTTAGTAAAAGTTATCAACAAGTCAACGTGATAAAGGGTGAGATTTCCAACTCAGCACCTTTGTGGAACCGTTAGTTGCTGTGCTACAACGAGAGGCCCAAACTGGTGAATGCCAGAGACGTCTTCGGTGGCTATGTCTCGGAGGTAGTGGTTGGCAAACACTGTATCCGACTTCCAGAAGCAGCCCTCCATAATTGATGATATAGAGAAATTTCTATGTAGAGCTAGTGTTGACGCCAGTGCTCTGACTTCGTGTGGGTTGGAAGCTCTTGGAGGTTCTAGTCCTGCTGCTTTGTAGGCTCTCAATATAATGGCTCTCATCCAGAACAATATTGTCGTTCTTGAGACTTCTACTGATGTCTCTGTAGATAACGGGATGAACAGGCGCTTGAATTTTCTTCTCCTTGTTTTAGTCTTTTGAAGATATATCTTCAGGGCTCTGACAGGACACAAGGATAAGTCCTGCGTATCCTCTGGTCCAAGGATTGTAGAAAGCACTGGTACGTGGAACTGTCTATCTGGTTGACCAGGTAGTTGATTCTTGGCAAAAAAATCGCATCTGAGTCCTAGATGTACTGCAGCATGGTGCCCCGTGTCAAATCTAGTTCGACCAAAGTCTAGCGCATGTATCTCCGACATTCGAGCTGCCGTGGCTAATGCAAGCAGGAACAGAGTTTTCTGTGTAAGCAGCTCGAAGGTAGTCTGATCTAGAGGTGCATAGGCATCACTCGTGAGATGACGTAGAATTACATTCAGCCGGAGCTCTGAATTTCTTTTGCTGGTCCTCCAGTTTAAAAGATCTCAGCAGAGCAAGTAATTCAGGTACTTTCGTCAACTTGATGCCTGTCTTCATGGTGATCACTCTGATGGCAGCAAGATAAATAAAGTCCCTTTCAGATGTCTAGTATGTCTAAGATGACAAGGTATTCCTGCCACTTGAGGATCCACCAAAGCAATGGCACCTCCTTGCATAAGTTTCAGAAACTTCTGCCACTCTGTCAGCAGATAAAGTGGTTCTGTGTAACGCTAAGGTTACGCCTTGGCTGTCGGCGAGTATCCTCTTTCTTCAAACATGTTTTGATACCCACACGCAGTAGCTGCAGCAGCCTTGAGTTGTGCAATGAGTAGGTTCGCCAATCTGGTAACTTGATTGTTGGACTTGACGCTGTCAGATATTTTGTCAGGAACCGTTGCAGCGGTCTTAGTTGTAACCTTCCTGTGCAAGTCAAGTCCTAGGCCGAATTTAGTAGACTGAGTAGAGATTGCCATGTTCGTAGTGTTAACGGAGAGATGACTGCTTGAGGAATCATGGCTTGTATCTTGACCCAACGATCTTCTGGGACGACAATACGATTCTGTGTTGTGATAAATCTTATCCCCAGAAATTGTAGATCTTGTTTGGTTCCAACTCTGACTTCATAAGGTTCACCAGCCATCCTAGTTGAGTGAGCAACTTGATTGTGAAGTTCAGCTGTAGTCTGAGTTGACTGGCACTTTGGTGAACCTGAATGCCGTCGTCCAGGTAGAAGGCATTGCGTAGACCTCGATGATGTAGGTATGTGACTATAGGCTTGGTTACTCGTGTGATATTTCTGATGACGGTCCTGGTTAGAATATTGATGTTCTGTAACCCATGCTTGCCGTAAGAGGCTACTAACGGGATCGGGTGGTCAGGCTCGCTGACTTGGTTGACACATGTCATTGGTTCCCAATTGCGCAGATGGATGCTCATGCTGTTGATCACTGGATTGTCTGGTCCAGACTCAATTATTTACAGACCGCTGCCATATAGCTGGAATATTGCTGAGTGCGGCGTAAAACTCACTCTCTCACTATTTCAGATTGATTCAATTGAAACACTATCAATAACATTTCCAAAATAAAAGCAGGGATAGAAATACTTTTTGTTCTAAGTGTGCCCTAGGGCACCAGGCAAATATTTTAGGTGTGCCTTTAAGAAATCAGGTGTACCCAAGTGTTTAGAAGAAATGACTGTAGCAAGAATGGTGATCTTTTAAATTTTATTGTCAGAAAACAACAAATGTAACCAGTTTTCTGTTATCACTGATATGTCTTCTGTTTAAGTTGGCTTTCTTATGTTTCATTTGTTCTGCTTTCCCAACTCCTTTAAAAGCTAAGAATTGTGTGAGAGGTTCATTTTTTCAATAAATCTAACATACATAATTTCCTCTTCAATAACTGAACTATCAGTACTCCCAACACTCTAAATGAAAAAAACAACCAGATTTCTTTACATGAACCATCATAATTCCAGTGATTTCCTGGGCGATAAAGTCAATAAATGTTTTTGCTTGGTTGTCATTTGCATAAGTGTTTTGTTTGGTTATTAAGTGACTAAAGGTGTGTTATGTCTCTAAAAAATATAGGCATGCCATAGGGGCATGGCACGCTAACATATGGGGTATTTCGAACCCTGAAAGGTTAGCTCATTCCCAAAACAATACTTTAAATAATATCAGAGCTGAAATTAGTAATAACCCTTACCAAATGCTTTTCAATATTATTACCACATTTACCCCAAAATTAGTTGTTTTTCAGCCACAACACTTGTTCAGCAAGCATCAACCCCACTACTAGTTCACAGGACAGACACATGTGCCACAAACAAAAGCACATGAACACCAAATACTACAAAGAGCATGAAAGTCATCCAACAGTGATTTCTGAAGTATTCAAACTTTTTAGAGAACTCAGCTTGAATTTTATGCCCTAATTTTGGTTTTGCCATACTTGGCACTGTTTTACCCAAACTGCAAATTGATGGGCAATGTAAGAAAATAAAGAGATCATGCCTAAATGTTGAGATTTGTCACATCTGTAATACACCTCAAACACCCATTCATTGCAAATATGCAAATTTCATTATTATAGATGTCATTTTCATTACATATTGTATAACATGGATTATTTCATGAGTTCCTTTAATGTATTTCATGTTTCAGCCAATAAGATGCGAAAATACTCCCATTCTATTCGATCAAAGTCTCTAATCATACTCTCTTGAACATGATAAATAGCAACAATCGGTAAAAGTTCCTCTCGTTCCCCCATCCCAAATAATATTTATAAATTAATATATATACTAAAATGATTAAGAAAACTTAAAACAACATTACTAGAGAACTCATAAAAATGACTAAAAGTCCAAAATTAGAGTTAGGGTTAGGGTTGGGGGAACGGAAGGAACTCTCTCCCAACAATGATTCCTGTACCTCGAGTTGTCGCTGGAGGTAGATAAGGTTGCTGTTGCGCGACTGTTGTGGTACTGATTAGCGGCGATTGTCACCTGTTTCACACATGGAGCAGCCTCCATTCTTGCAGTTTGTTGGAATTGTCAGCTGAATTTTCTCTGCAGAAAAAAAATATTATTGTAGGTCAACAAAACATGACTGATCCTAGATTTTACCTTCAAACACTTGACGAACTTACATGATGTGAACACCACCTAAGCAAGACACCCTACACTAAAATACTGCTGTAGCTTGAATACTAATTAGTTGGTGCTATTATAGAATATATTCGCCACCTTGTTTTGTAACAATTTTACCATTTTTACCAATAATCCTTTCCTCTAATACTCAGGATAAGGTTCAGGTTTTAGGGTTAGGCTTAGGGTTTTGGTTAGCCTTTCTTTCTTTTTCTTTCTAGGTGAGGTGAAATTGGGTTTAACGTCGTGCTTGAGAATATTTCGCTCATATGACGACGTGCATGCGTATGTGTATGTGCGGCTGCTTGTACTAGCTGGTATTATAGTGCTAGCCCACTGAGATACCATGCCGCAGTGAAGCATGAATACCCCATTCAGACATATTATACTGACTCCGAGCCGACCAGTCCTTGTTGTACCCATTAATGCCAAGAGCCAGGCAGGGACCAACAAGTACCATATTTTAACGTCTTTTGGTATGACGCGGTCGGGGATTGAACCCACGACCTTCCGCTCTCCGGGCAGACGCTCTCACCACTACACCACGGAGGCTTTTTCTTTCTAGGTGGCAAACATATCCTATAGAGGCTCCACTTAGTAGTTCAGCCAGCTAAACGTCGTGTTCCTACCCAGGTACACGACGTTTAGCTGGCTGAACTACCACTTAGTTGTTATCACGAAAAGGTTGTCACTGAAAATTATACCAAAAGACTTTGGGGTGTTTGATAAGCAAGACCTAAGGATCGTAGCGATGGGGTGTTTGATTGGAAAGGTGAGCCAAGGGCTATTGATTCAGTTCGGTGTAAATTTCCCTAATCAATGCTACAGTCCGTTTGAGTCAGAAACGGACCGATGAATTGCAAATTTTATCTTTGTATAAAATTGCCACATAAATATAAATAGTACACGTTTATCAGTTACTAATACCCAACAGCTTTCTTATATTTGAAAATTGTTCGGACTCCACCAAAAAAGTTCTTTAAGAAACTATCATCCTTGAAAATGCAAAAGTTGTTATCTGTCGCGGCAGGGTGAAACTGCAGAAACAGAACAGCCACTATCTCGTAGTGCACGGGATACACATGCCTGATGAAAAATGAAGTTGAATGATGACGTGAAACAGTTGATGATTAAAGTGTACAATTTTTTCCGTGCTGAAGCCGAAAGGGGCAAACCATTTTATGCCATTAATAAATTCCATAAGCGGGCAGCAAAAGCTTTAGGAGTATCAGCAAGGGTACTGACAAATGTTCTGGAACACAAACATTGTGAGGGTGATGCGAAGCAGGTAGGGGTCGTGTCAAACTCACACAAATTAAAACATTTGGACAACTTTCAAAAGAACCTTGTAAGGCAGTCTATAAACAAGCTCTATTCTGAAAACATGTCGCTGAAAATTTTAAAAAAGCATTTGAAGCAAGAACACAACCTTAGAGCATCAAAGTACACACTCTGGCGACTCTTACACTCTTTCGGGTATCGTTATAAGAAAATTTCGGGGAGAATAGGTCAGTACTCTGTGAGCAGCCCTGATATCGCTCGTTAAGCGAGAAATAATTTTCTCAGGGTTATAAAGAAGAAGCGAGGAAGGGTTCGAGCCAGTGTACTTGGACGAGACCTGGGTCAATTCCTTGCACACTGCCAGCAGTCAGTGGGTACCCGATGGGGGTGATAAGGGGTCACGTAGAAAGCTGCCTCTAGGGAAAGGAAAGAGACTAATCATTCTCCATGCTGGTTGCTCCAGCAAAGGCTTTCTCCCAGGCTGTGACTTGGTATTCAGGGCAAAGTCCACAGATAACAGAGACTACCATTCCGAGATGAATGGTGCGGTTTTCCTCGATTGGGTTAAAAACAAGTTGGTACCAGCTCAACCAGAGAAGACTTTTGTCGTAATGGACAATGCCCCATACCACAGCGTGCAGGACCCCGACAGTAAATCCCCGACATCGAACAGTCGAAAAGGTGATATGATATCATGGCTCTATTCGACAAATTTCAGATCGCCACGGCCTTCAAAGGCAGCGAAGCCTCAGCTATATGAGATCATAAAAACCCACAAAGGTGAACCTTTCGACAAAGTTGACAGTTACATAAAAAGTAAGGGTCACGATATTCTGCGACTTCCACCCTATCACCTTAACCCCATTGAAATGATATGGGGAATTGTCAAAGGAGATGTCGCCAGATCAAACACAACTTTTAGATTACTTGATGTAGAGTTTTGGGAATTTTAATAAATTAAGACTGAAACTTTGGCAAAACTGTGTCAACAAGGTAGCACGTCATTGAACAACTTGGTCTCAGGATGGCTAAAACAGGCAACTGTGGCACCACTTGTCATCCCCTTAAGTTGTGACTACGACACTACGACAGACGAGGAACCGCCGAATAGATTTTGAGATGTCCCCCGCCATGAACACAGATAACAACTGGTTTCAATGGATAGTTTCTAACCCCAACATATATGTCCTTCCCTTCAACCCTCAATTTCAAGGCAATAAAAATCCCCTTTCCACACAAGTTGTGACTCTTGACCATCCTCATTATTTTAGACGAGTTCAAGCTGAAAACGATCAAAATGGTCTTCGAATGTCTTCATTTTTGACACAGTACTAAATGTCCCCGCCATGAATTTCAAAATAACATATTCTGGCTGTTTTACATGAAATCGTAAATTTTTCTCGGTTGGGATTTCTAGAAAATGCGCACTCGCCGTCGACAGTATTGAGACGCATATACACATATTTCATATTCAGCCGAAAACGCATCAATAAACTCATACATTTTAGACTCAAATGAGTGTGGTCTGTCACCAATGTTTCTAGATAAAAGAACATTTTTTGGTAACGCTGTGCTCGAAGACCGCGCTGGTTCAAAATGTAAACAAAGACAAAACCTATTTTCATTGTGTAGCATTTTCTGAAATTTTCCAACAATCCGCATTGCTTGCAATGGCTCAATACCTTTGGAATATGCATGGAAAGAATCGTAGCAAGAAATAGGAAATTATAAATAGATACAATGCAATGATTTGATAAAATTGTCAAAGTTTCCTCGCAGCGTGGCGCCATGTACGACTATCGAAAATCACGCTAGAACCAATAAATCGGTAATTATCTGGATTTCTGTCTTTTCTTTACATGTGTAGTCAGAATCATTTCTGATTACTTACATCTCATATTTATGGACAAATCGATCCCTCAATGGAAGGGTCCCCGAAAATCCTGTGTACCCTTGTCAACAAAGCCAGCCATTTTAGCCGTAGTACGTTTTCATGATAGTTCAGATATTAATTTTTATGAAACCGACTTCAGTGTTCAATATCATATTGCGATGGCAGTATTACTTGTGTTTTATTCTTTGAAAGTTTTGATTGTTTGAATCATATTTACATAGAAATTGACATTTAGTGCAATACACCATATTCTAAACCTTTACAAGTGTTATCAAACGTAGTCATAATAAATTGGCGTTAGTTTGCAACTAGCTATTTGCAGTTTCACATGAACAGGTTAATGAACGGGCTATTTAATTCAACCGTATAAGTAAAACTGATAATATTAATGAAAATGATTTATATATGGTATGAAATGTATATGCACACATTATTTAAAGGAATTGTCTTGTTTTTGCACATTTGTGTGTCGGGTTTATAGAGAAAACAATGATGTAAATTGATTGGCCAGGTGCTGGCTTGTCGGAAACGCTTTTATGATTCACTATCATTGTTTTCGATAATATAATATCTGACTCAACGGGACTGTAATAATAACACATAGTAACTCTCAGAGGATCAAAAGATCCAGTCTTATGGTTTTGTCTAAAGAGGATCGTTAAGAAGAGAACCAGAGTAGCTTTCACATGTAATCACGTTGTCATTTTTCTTGTAAATTGTGAAACTACCAAACCGCATCCGCAGTCTGACTTATAAAAGGCCAATTAACGCAGCAATGACATTTATTGCGAGAAGCTGCGCCCACTTTCCGTAATTGGCGAGTCATTTTAATGTTGAGCGTGATAACGCAGGACAAGCACATAAACCCAATTTTAGACACTCTTGCCGAGGGGGTAGTTGCACTTATATTTATGTACATTTCTGTGTACCATATGATATGCAATGTAAACATGCATTTATGTGGCATACTGCGTGTATTCTGGTGTCTACATAAAATTACTAAGTCAATGCCACGAAAACAGGTGACACAACATATGGTTGTCAACTTTTGGCCAAAACGGAAGACGGGAGGAATTCACACCAATCTGCTCTTCTAAGACAACTAAAACGATGCACTGTAACTTACACTTTTCTATGACTTTGTCAGCTTAGTTCAAGTGTCTAATGAAATGTCTTACAAACCACATCAAAATGCATAGCAATGTGCTTTGTTTACAGCAACCATTTTGAAAGTTTCAAACCTCGCGCTTTAGCTCTACTACGCATGCGCGAGATTATCGGCTCTGAATGTGAAATTTTATCGTCTGTCACCAGTTGGTCACCAGAAGGAAGAGTTATGGTATTTTCGAAGTATGGTATATTCAGCTAAGTTGTTGTGTTGGCGACATTTCAGTGTTTACATACTCCCAGTTTGCACCATCCAACATGACAGCGCCCATTTGGCGAACAACATGGGAAGTGCGTGTGGAAAAGCACCTTGCAATGGAGGAAAATTCCGAAACATAATGACAAGCTTTGGTGACTGGACAGGAATCATCATTTTCGAGAGTTAATGTGCATCTGTGAGTCGTATAGACCTAACATTCAATAGTCATAATGTGCCAATCAGCCAACCTGATCAACATGTGGCCACTGAGCATTCCCTAAACACGTGGACTCTGGTGACATGATCATGACAGCGCCAGAGACAGCAACTCAAACTTATGTTAAGGACTCTCTTAGCCTGCAAATTCATTAATTATCTGACTATTGATCAGATTCAAACTTCACGCTCTACACATATCACTTCACTCTTTCACATTTCGTACACACTAAACGAACGGACAGAGAGAACTGACTGAGTTTGGTTTTACGCCGCATTTAGCAATATTCCAGCAACATCACGGCGACAGATAGAAATGGCCCCTGAAAGTTTGGGGAATATATGGTCCCCAATTTTAGTGAAAATGGTCTGACATTTGAAGCAACAAAATTACCCACGCAAGCCTTAATCGGTAGTGATTTTCTAAAATGGAAATATGTTCTGAACTGATATGCTGCACATCACTGCTGTATTTAATCACTCACTCACTGTTCGATTCTGATTTTAGTTTTGGGAACCTTTCTTTTAGATACAGATAAAGACTTGGGCTATATATCTGTAAAGCCTGGGCCAGTATTGACACCTTAAGCTCAGATAGTCTGCCTAATCGTTGAACTATTTTACCATGTTTACGTGTGTCTTTGCAGATGCAGCTGTGAAGTTTTGATATGGCATCCAGACCCACTCCCGACAGTGGTGTCTCAGGTGGCTCCAGGGAAACACTGATCAGTAACGCCAAAGTAATGCTTTATCATTCCTGGTCTTTCTTAGCAGACTATTTGCCTCTAGCAAACTCGCAGGCATCAGATTTCATTGTTAAAAACTTATGGAGTCTCTATGTGCCACAGAACATTCAGGAAGAACTTTTAAAGATGTCAGATGATGAATTATCTTCTTTCCCGTCTGGCATGCTTGGAGAAGTGATGTCAGAATGTTATGGAAAGGAAGACAAAGGTGAAATGTTTAATGCTGAGCAAGCCAAAGCAAATATTAAATCGGAAGAAAAGTGGGAATCTTTTGATCCAGGGGAACATCGACTTGAATTCATTAAGTGTCAGTTCCTTGAGAATTCTTCAGTGTCAGCAAAAGGAAAAAAATCTGTTCATCTACAAACCTGTCCTATTTCCTGGAAGCATTCTAATTTGTATGCATTCACACAAGCTGCCCAGAAGCATACACTGACGTCAATGGATGTCTTAACTGCAGTTGGTGAGGTTGTCAGTGTGCAGAGTCATGCTGTACAGGATGATGATGATGTTGATGGTGCTGCTGATAATGATGAAGTGGATTGTGTGCTGATGTCACAGAAGAAGAGTCATGAGGTTGAAGTAATGGCAGAAGTTTGTGCACGCATGGCTGATGCTTTTAAAACTAATCTGGTAAGGGAAACATGCATTTGTAATTATTGTTTAAAGGAAGTTGTGTTTACCACCACTTATAACAGTTTGTGTAATTGAGTGGCAATATTGTGGATGTCCATCCATTCACCCAAAGTGAGTAGGCAACGATTTGAAGTTGCATCAACAATATCTTGGCCATGTTGTGACTCTTAATAGAGATCGTAGTTCAGTCCCAAGAATGTGTTCAGTGTGTGTGTACTGTGTAGGGAGTTTAGTTTTCTACAACCATGTTGGAATTGCTAAAATAAGCATTAAACCCATCCTACTCATTGTTTCATGTTTCAGAAATGTGATATGGGTTGGAAATGTTTCAGACTGTGGACCTTGGCAGTGGGAAAGGCTACCTGAGCACTCAATTGTGTTACAAGTTTAACCATCACGTCATTGGGATCGACTCTTCATGCACAAACACCGAGGGTGCCACCAAGAGGGCAGGCCGCCTAGACAAGAAATGGAGTGTCAGAAAAAACCAGCCAGTAAAACAAATGAAAAGTTCACAAAAAGACAAAAACCATCCATCAGACACTTTGCCTGAAACTAGTACTACAAATGATTTTGAGTCAAGTTCTTTTGTGAGTAAATGTTCAAGCTGTGATGTTGACAAACTTTCAGACAATTTTACTACATTTAATGTACATGATGAAGATGTGGCTATGCTTCATGCTGAAACAGCAGACATTAAATATTCAAACCAAATTGCCCACGATGACGATAGTTCCACAAGGCTGACTGGTTATTTTGAAAACTACAAGAATCAAGAAAAATGAAACAATTAACAGTGTGAATTTTCTGGAGCCAATGATGAAGTTATTTCAGTGGAACATTCAGACAGTTTGTGTAACCCGGATTCAGCTGAAAAGCACAAAAAGTCAAGCTCATTAAACCATACTTCTGGTGAAAGGATCCAAAACATTATCAGAGACAGGTGTGAACATGTTAAACAGGACAGGTTTGTCCCGCTGACAAAGTATGTTGATTGTAACATGAAGCTGATGGAATCAGTGAAAGAATCAGTAGTTAATTTGGGATTAGACCCCAACAAGGCCAGGCTGCTTCTGACGGGTCTTCATACATGTGGGGGTCTTGGTTCCAGTCTGGTGCGGTTGTTCGTCAACAGTCCATCTGTTCGAGCCATGTGTAATGTTGCTTGCTGCTATCATCTCATGGAAGAGGAGTTTGTTGCCAGTCCATTCAGTGATGATGCAAGTATGTTATAGGTAGGAGTTAAGGGTGGATTCTTAAGGTGATGCCTGGATTTGATTTGTAGATTGACATGATAGAGCCTAGTGACAAGCCTTAATTAATCAGTTTCCCAGTTAGCACAGACTGGTTGAAAGCAGCAACATGTTGGCCAGGTGGACATTGACAGGCTCTGTCACTTTTAATGTATTTCAAACTTTTAGGAAATTGAAATACAAGCCATCTCTGCAGAAGATCCACTAAGAATAGTAAGATTGTCTTGACTGGAGTCTGAGCTGTTGTCATATACCGTAGGTGGGAATTTTTCTGAGTGTAGTTTTAAACAACAATCTTTTATACTGATAAGGAATTAAAACAAAATGAGTGGTACCAAGTGAAAGAATATTGTGGTTTACTGTCATCTATGAGTTCCATTAGGATCATGCTAGACAGATGTGTATGTGTAGCTTGGTTACATGTGCATTATATCCTGCAGGTGCCCCCTCAGACTTCCCCATGAGGAGCTATCTACAGAAGGCACATATTGGCTTGGGGAAGGCGTCCCGGAACATAGCCTGCCTGTCTGTACACAGAATGGCTGCAGAGAAACAGGTGACTTTAACTTTTCATGTACATGGACAGTTTCATTAATATCAGTACTGAGTTGCTATATAAGTACTGAAACATGGAGAGAAGTTGCCCAGCAACTAATCCTGTTCGTAAGGGGTTACAAGATAGATCAAGTGATCAGGCCTGTCCACTTGGTCGATCAGTCACCGGTTAAATGATTGTTATTTTTTCTTATCCTGACTCTTCGGGAACTTCAAGGGATTTAAGTGTTCCACTGCCATTCACATAGGAAAGGGAGATAAGCAAAAAATTATGAATCAGGATAAGTATAAAAATATCAATTTTACTTGAAAAATTACATATTTGTAATAGCAGTTACTGGATGTTCTAGTCCAGACCCATACTTGGACACTGACTGCAGTTATTTGCAGACTGACAACATTTAGCTAAAATAATGTAGAATGAACTTGCAGTGAATTTGCACATGAACCTAATGCTGTGGGAATTTGGTGGTTCCCATGGTTACACTGTGTCATTTTAGTATTTTTACTGTGATGATACTGGCTGTTCATAGTATCGACCATTGGTTTACCTGCACGGATCATATTCAATAAACTGCTATGTTTTAGTATCCAGCTTTTATATTTTCAAATCATTGCATTAGAAACGTGCATTTGCGTAGGTGAAAGTTTCGATGTCGGGAGCTCATTTCACGAACTAGTGCTGCTCTATCAATCATGCTAGCATCTTTACAGATGTGACTGTGACTCTTACTCTTAATAATCATTCCTGTTGTGTAGCAAATGATCTTTATCCAGCTTCAGGGCAAGTCTTTCTACTCAAGGGCCCTGTTAGAAAAGATCATTCATGATGTGGTCGGAGATGTAGGAAATGGAGGTCAGAAACTACGGAAACTAGAGAAGCGAAGCAAATCTTTGTATGACTACATGGTAAAGGCATTCACAAGGCTGGGACTACCTACAGACAAGGTACATTGCAGGAGGAATGCATATATCTCTGATCAAACTGATGCTCGATAGATGTTAACTGCAACAGTATTTCTGGCCCGTGACGATCCGGGTTGGAATTAGTCTTCAGCAACGTCTCGTGGACTTGGTTGGTGCATGTCATCATATTCCTATTATGTAGATAGATGCACATGATGTCAGTACTTGCCATTATCTAGTTCCTCTTGATTTTCTACGGACCATCATTTTCAGCTGGTAGCTGGAATGGTGCAGAGTTAAACAAGGATATGTTTGTATTCGACATAAGGATATATTGGCATGTGTTAAGTGAACAAAATCATTTAGATTATAAAAACAGTCATTATGCATGGAAATGAAGTAGTTAATACAAGATATGGTAAAGTCTGTTCAAAACATGTATGAAACTGAATAATCCGTTTCAATTGAATTTGAATACTAGATAAGCCCCAGAGATTGTATGGAATACAGACGTATGTCCTGTTATTTGTCAGGTGACTCGAGACCTTGTTGAAGACTATGATAAAAGGTACAGCCATGTCCGTCACCAGCTGGCTGCATTTGTTCAGCTCCGTGCCGTCCTAGCTCCATGTATTGAGTCCCTCATCCTCCTCGACAGATACCTTTACCTTCTGGAACAGGTGAGTGAGGCCACATCCTCTCATAGCTTTTGGTAGTGAGAGGTCAGACTCCCTTTTGTCCAGTTTCAAGACCTGCAACTAGAAAACATTGTGTTCATGTTCATTCATCAGTTCACTTATGTCAATCTTGCACTGTTTGCAGTGTCTTAGCCCCAGTGAGGGCACAAATGGTGTTAGTCTCTTCAAATTTTTATTGGGAAAAATATTGAGTAAAATGTGGAGAGTATGCCTGAATGTATTGATTACCTAATGTTCCAGGATCGGGTGGTCAGTCTCGCTGACTTGGTTGACACTTGTCATCGTATCCCAATTGCTCAGATCCATGGTCATGCTGTTCATCACTGGATCGTCTGGTTCAGACTTGATTATTTACAAACCACCGCCATATAGCTGGAATATTGCTGAGTGGGGCGTTAAACTAAACTCACTCACTCACTCCATATTGTTCCCCACAAGGTTGTAGAACATAAGTCACTAAGAATCATCTTCTTTTTCAGGATGATATCCAAGATGTGTACCTCACACAACTATTTAATCCAGTTGTGTCACCAAGATGCTTTGCTATCATTGCCACCAAGAGAAACTAAAACTACCTCGAACAAGGATTTGATTCACTTCATTCAAAAGATGCAGAACCATCATTTCAGTCTTCAGGACAAGCTGGAAATGCCTACAACAATTTCATCACCATCATCAAGTAGACATGTTAACTCTGTGTTGTAATCTTTGTTCATGAAAACATTTCCACCACATAACTGCTTCTGTGATTCAATTATGTCCTTGCACTTTATTTGTGCATGGTTTACTGAGTCATTGACCTTCAAAACATGTTTTGCCAATCAGTTTGTATCACCTACCTTTACTCCATAATTCTATGCCACCAATTTTTTAACATACTGACCATATGATACATTATCAAAATACCTAAACCAAAACAAGAAGTCTAGCCTTACTTGTAAAATCTAAAGGGAAAAAGAGGTCCATTGGTTAGACAATAATCAATGGCTCTGTTGTATTTATGGTGATATTAAGGGACACTATGCTCTACAGCCAGATTCCTGCCATTTTGAAAGAAGTCCTTCTCCCACAAGATCTCATGTATTTGAAAACTTAATTTTTCATTACTCTTTCCTTTGAAACACTGCTCAAATGATGCATCAAAATATAGAATCTTACATAGTAACAAAGAAAATGTGTATATGTGCATGATATTTATCTAATCCTGCGCTACTTACTTCCTGCACTTGTTGCTTACGACTCGAAATGTAGCTGCTAAGTATACGTATATGGGGGTCTTACCACTTACCCAGCAGCTATTGTTTTAAGGTTCCAGATCAGTGAAGCGATATAATCCCCCAAAACAAAAGGTGCACCTGTAATTTAGTTCCCTTTGAGATTTCGTCACCCAGCAATCTGTGAGATTTGGTCCGTCACCAAAAAAGAAAAAGGTGTAAATAATCACCATTTTATTGACATTGACACACATTTTAGATATTTACTGGACATTTTACTAAATAAATACTTGTAAACTGAAGAATACAGGCCTGTTCCTTCTTTAAAAAAAGTCTATGATTTTGTAGATGTTGGGGTGGCTCTCAGTCGACACATTCAGTTTTCTGTGCCAGCCCTCAACATGGTTGGTCGTTCGTGGCTCTGTGGTCGTTCTGTGGCATAGTGGTTCAATGTTGCCATGGCCACCCTCCACCCAGTAGGTTGTCACATAGCTGGTGAAGCTGTTGATGTTGTCACCGGCCGGAGCATTTTCTAGGGCATGGAACCACTTTTCACTGACCATGTGCACAGGGACCAGTGGAAGGGCCATACCTCTCCACACGAGTAGCCCAACATCAGGGTTGTCCTTATATTTTGTCACTAAACCACATTTTTGCACTTTGTTCCCACACAGCTTGAGTGTAACGGAACAAACACCATTGTAGTTTGACGTCAGGAAAGATGGTGAAGAAGGCATTCTTGAAACGTTCTTTTTACATGTGTCACAAACTTTTCTTTTCCTGGATGGTTTATCTTCGTTCCCCATGATGTACAGACTCCCAACTTAAGTGTTAGCAAAAAACTGCATGTCAGCACTCTAGTGCGACAAGAAAGAGAAGGACTACACAAAGGGGTCACATGACCCATGAGAACACAGCCTGCATGCTTCTCAGGGGCTACCAGGCTTTCCAGGAATGGGAGCAGTATGGGTGTGTTTAGGTTTAAGGTTCAAGAGAGACTAAAAAAATTGTTTACAATTACAGTTATTCTGCCTCTTTACCCTCTGTTGACATATCTTCAACAGGGATATTTAAATATGAAATCTCATGTCGAGTATTTATACAGTCCTTTTCTTGTCATCTGTTTCAACTCTAGATGTGTCACAGCAGGGTCAAATGGTGCCCATGGAGGATGAATGAATTCTGTTTCTCATCCTTAATATTCCTTGACATTACTTTTGCAACCATTCAAAGCCATCAACTGGAAGTTATTCTGTGTCTGCCCCATGAGGATTATTCACAGACAATTTCTCTTGCGACATGCAAGTTGTAGATGGAAGACATCTTAGGTGTGTGTCTTCTCGTAGAAATACAAAAGAACTTTGTGATCTCTTTTCCAGATAATCTTCACCTGTCTGGTACACTTTACACTCAAAGGTTTCATTTTGCAGCTTTGTAAATGATTCATTGCTGCTGGAGCATTCACAGCGATTCCAGTATTTGCACGTCTGACACTGGACCGTCAGCTTCCATTGTTTCTGAAGTGTTTCCTTATTGAGAAGATCCTTTTGACATATCTTTACAAAAATGGTGTTTCTTGTCTTTAAACTCGGGGTCGGCCTGGTCAACAACTTTCTCCATTCTCTCATGATCATTATATACTGGAGTTGGAGTAGCAGCTGGAGCGTTGTGCACATCAAGCCGCCTCTGGGTTTCTGAAAAAAGAATGGTTCATTGCAAAAATGTTAAAGGAAATTTTACACATGATTCAGTCTAAGCAAAAATATTGTTCGCATATTTTTACATTTTTCCTTATCCTGACTCTTGCTTATTTGCTTTCTCATTCCTCTCTTCCTCACGGTTAAGTGGAAACTTTAATCATTCCCTTGAAGCGAACATACAATCACTCACCCTGAGGTACCTCCCTTGTTCCCGCCATTCTGTGCTCAACGACACACCTAGGTTTGAGCTACGCCTACGAAATGATAGGAACAGATTTTCTCAGGAAATGTTATAGATAGGGAAAACAAATTTGGTATGTGTCTTCAGTACATGAATGTTTTGATGGAGTTTGAAAATGGAAACAGTGTTACAATTCTTGACAGAGTTAGGGCCCTTGTCATGGGTTTAGTGCACAGTATCACCAATGGGGACAGATTATCTCAAAAACGTTATAGATAGGGAAACCAAATTTGATATGTATTTTCAGGACACAAATGCCTCGATGGAGTTTTAAACGGAAATTGAGTTACGTTTCTTGACAGAGTTATGGCCCTTGCCATGCATTTCTTGACTTGTGGGACCAATGGGAACAGATTTTCTCAGTAACCGTTTCTCAGGAAAGCAAATGTGGTACATGGCAGGGGATATGGATGACCATGACATCTTGTTTGAATTACATTCTGGTCAAGAACATGTGTTTTGTGGAAAGATCAACCGGTGCAGGTGTTTTCTCACACTTTTCTTTCCCAATTGTGGCTAGACTGAGAAGATCCCCAGATTCCCATGTATGTTTTGGACTCTCTGATAGACATTATTTCATCCCTGGACACGGCGTGAATGCCTTCTGTTGTTAGAGGGACACCAGCCATGTAATGTTCTGAATGTTGGGTGTAATGTCCAGCCAGACTGTTAAGACTTGTCTGCTAATGAGGGCCTTGTGTCAAACGGTCCTGTGACAAGTACAGATCTTCAGTGTTAACCAGCTCAATAAGTATTCCTCCAGACTATTCAACGCCAACACAGGAACCTGCCCTCCTCCTGTCTTCACGCTCTCCCGCCTACTGTGAGCTGCCCGCTTCCTTGTCTGGCTCCTTTGTTAGAGCGAAATTGAATTTAATCAATTATTCTGAAGTGTCATATTCATAATTGAAATTTTCATGTTATTCAATAATTTATTTTTCCACATTGTAGTATGTGCACAAATCAAAATAACTGAAGCTTTGGCAATCAGTGATTCATCTGACATTTATGTACTTATTATATTTAATAACAGTAGGCCTACACATTGATTAATCATGTTCTAATTTCCATTGTCAATTCAATAAACATCATGTTTTCACTTACTTCATGTCAGTCCACGTTTTCTTTATTTCCACCCATTCTCTCTTTACATAGCTGTTGGCATTTATTCTAAATGAGAAACAGGACATATAGGTGAAAACTTATCAGATTAGTAGCATCAACATAATTTCAATAACTACCAAAAAAATGTTACAAGAAATACCACTTTCCCGAAAGAGCTACCTTTAAATAATTAATATATAGGAAAACCTTTATAAAGTTATATTACTTTTATACTGTGTACGAGTTAAGGTATGAAAGAAATATATACCCTACATATATATACCCTACACTATTTCCTACGGTTAGTTGAAAACAATATCATGAATTTGTCAATATTGTTATTGCCAACTTATTGGGCAGTGTATTTTACTCATCTATGATATCTTTTTTACTGTATGTTTCCATCATTACATGTATAATAACGTGATATTAATTAGCAGTATTTAACTTCATATCACATTACAAACTGCATCTTAATTTAAACCAGATAAATCTAATCATTATCACGGTCGCTGACAGTAGAACAACTCACTTCTCGGCCACCTCCTCCCAGCATTTTCTTTTGGTCTTGAGATTCATAGTGCTGCTAAAACTCGATAAGAGCACAGCCGAACGTAGACCGACCTCCGAGACTAAAATCTCCATCTCGGAGGCCGTCCAGATGGCTTTCCTGGCTCTTTTCACGCAGGTGTTTTCGGCCACTTCGGTTCGTTTGGTGTCCATGTTGACGTCTGCTATATTTACATAGGGGAATTTCGTGACGTCATCGGGGTTCCCTGGATACGGTTGCGACAGCTGTCGTATCTAGCTTGACCTTTCGACGGACTTGCGAGTTTTTCGAAAATCTCTCTTATGGTCGCGCTAAGATTATCTTAACTGTTGACATAACTTCTTACGACCTGTCAAAGGCAAACACACTGCCAGCATGTAACAGACAGTTTCCATTGGCACTAACTTTCACCGGACAAAACTGAGCTGGTTGTTCCTCTGGGTATATTTCTTTGGCTTGTTTGTCCACCCCAAGGCCTGTGCTTCGTCGTGAAGCTGATATCTATAAAATATAGTATGTGGTGACTTAGACATGACCTGATGAATCCTCATGGTTCCAGGAACTGGATCAAGAGTTGAGATTTGCTTCAACTCGCAATAACTTGTACACAGTTCTTTAGGACCAGCCGATATAGCTGGCTTAGTCAGGAAGGCAGAGAGACGGTTGGCCTCTACATTCCTGAGCCCAGATCTAGGTCGCACATGCTATATAAAACCCACTCGTGTGTTGCATGTGCTCAGCTGAGGTATTAAGACACAATGGAATTTTGTCAAGGTTGTCACAAACATCACTGCTATTTACTTACATTTAAAGAAATATATATATATGAAGTGGATGTATTCAGTCATAAAGGTGGTCTTCGCGTGCGAAGTCTTGTTCGATTAGAGTTTGTGAAGTGAGCATATCTAAGCGCGAAGCGACTAGTTCTGACCTCTCCATGTTGACAAGCCAGCCTAACTGGTGAAGTGGCTGCATCGTGAACCCCATGTGATGTAGGAGGAATGCACAGTCGGTCTGAGCCTGGATACAATCGTCGATGTATGTTTTGAACAGTATCCCCTTGTGATGGAGGAAGCTGGTCATGGGCTTCGACACCCGTGTAAATAGCCACGGGGCCGAAGAAATTCCAAACGGGAGCACCCGCCACTGATAGTGGGTGCCCTCGAAGATGAAACGGAAGATGGTCCAATTGAGGGCATAAATCCCAAGTCTTCCGCCTACTGGGGAAGCCTTGATAGGTACCAATAGGAAGCTGGTCTAGAAGAAGTGAATGACCGGCACTGACAGTTGGAATGCCCTCTGGTCGAACCTCTTCCTCGAAAGGAAGTAGGAGGTCGCAAACGAAGATCTGGGTTGGTCGGCACATAGCTAGCTGGCTGCCGTTGACACAGCGAATCTTCTACTTGTAACCGCTGAAATTTCAATAGCTCCACAGAGACCTGCAAATAAGCATCCTTCCCAACCTTTTTAGGCTATATCTCTTATAGCCCCATTAAAGAGTGATCTTCCCGACCAAGGTTGACGGAAAAGATCTGTCCGAAATCTATCCTCCCACGAAGATAAGTGAAGCGGGCCCCTGCGCCGAACTGGAGAAAAAATGGGCCAGCTAATCCAAGATGGTCTGCAACTGCTCCTGTAACAACACCATCGAAGCCCTAATATAAGCATGTTGAGGGGAAGCCGCATCCGAGACAGACATAGCCACAGCTTCAGTCGCTGTCAAAACCAAGTTGAGGGGAGCTAAGATCCTCCGAATGGCGCCAGCCAGGTACGACAACTCACAGCCCTCAACCAGAAAGGACTGGACATATGGTGATCACAGGTGTGACAATACAGAAATTTCACAACACATATTACGATATCTTGGAACGCTACAATTCGATGCATATCAGGCTAATGCTACGTGTAGTTATTTTCTTCAAAAAAGTTTATTTTGATAGCAAGTAACAGTGTAAATTTTAACATAACCTTCAATTTCTAGTGAAAATTAACAATTTTAAGGTCAACTATACACATCACAATACGAAAAAAAGTATAGATGTATTCATCGTCAGATAAAGTATCAAGATTATTGAAACTAAAATATATCATCACAGCTCTAATGGTGATACCTGCATGTTCCTTTGCATGATTCGATATTTCATCTTATCAGATTTCTTCCCCCATACACGCTGTTTCAACTGGTTGATGATAGTAGCGTGGACATCCTCACCTCCAAAAGCCCAGGTGTTGATCGAGGCACTCACATGATCCTCCAAAAAGTGCATTTTGGGAGTAACGCTACTGAATGGGAATTTGCGGCAATGAAATCACATGTACTCTTTTATCTTCTCTTGGATTGTTGGTATTTCTTCACAACCGATTGGCTTGTCATGACTGATAAGTTGATGAACAGCTGAAAATGTCCGGTTAAGTTCCTCATACAATGCCTGGAATATTGTGCCGTCATGCTTTGTCATTTTGCAGGTTGTAATGGTTGTAATGCTCCTGCAAAGGTCTTCATACACCTGCGGATTGACATATTTCTTGCAGTGATTCCCGACAAAAGACAGTGTATGATAGGCCTGGGGGGTTCAGGTTTATAACGCTGACCTTTCGACCAAAGTTCGCGGTTGAGTGGGAAAAAAAATATCGGCGTCCTGAGACAAGTTTCATTTTGGCAATTAATAAAGGATTACGAGGACAATGAAGGATCAACGAGTTGTTAGAAGAGGATAATCCGGATTATGCGGATGAGAGCACACCTATTGAGAAGACAACAGTTTATTTCCATACTTGAAGCACTCATCAACAAACTCAGTTGACAGATTTTAATGTTTTTTCACAATGATTCACATAAGTAAATACATGACATTGTTTATGAATACATCATATCTGATGCGTATTCATGATACATATAGCACACATTTTTTCACAGATTGTTCCACAGATTTTAGCGCAAATGCAACAGGTGGAATGCTGAATCAGCTAACTGTCTCACGGACAGTGTTCCTTGTCTGAGCTGGTGACGGATGTCATCCAGTCGTCGCTCTAAGTCCCTGTATTTCTTCTTCTTGAACGGACACTTCTGGCGAGCAGTGTTCTAGACCAGCTTGTTTTCCGTGTTGGTCTGTTCTCGTGACAGGAACGACACGATCTCGAAGATATTTGGTTGAGCCTTGCTGACGTATCTCTTCATACGTGCATGCCACCCTTTCAGGTGGTTCTTGGTTCTTGGCCCATCTGACTTGTGGTGGTTTCATTGCATTCCACTGCGATATGTTCACCTTGTACGGTGAGTTCACCTTGTCAAAACATCTAGAGTTGATTATCCACAACCCTAATTATGCCTAATCAGAACCTAACCTTCAAAGGAAACTGCAACTTGGCGTCCTGAGACTAGTGGAAAATCGAAAAGGTTGGTGCCCTGAGACGACACTGGCCTGGGGTACAATTTTGTGTGATTTCAACATTTGTCCAAATTTGCTGTAACTGGGCCTTTTCTTTCTTTAAGTTTGTTTTCTTGGGTCTTTCTTGATATTTCTTTCCAGAGTTTTTTTATTGTGCCGTGTAACTTCTTTTCCTGTTCTTCCAAATAGACGAGAGGTGTATTGTCTTCGATTTCCTTTAAATGATAAGTTAATCTTTTCTCTTTTTTGTAGTTTTCCTGACTTCTCCAAACATACTCTCCAAATTTATTCTCTTGAATTTCTTCATCAATCATGAGAGCACGTCGTCCGATGAGCATATCGAGCTCATGGCATTCCTGTTCCAGCATTACATGATGTTTTTTAACTACTCCCAGTAAAATATGCAAATATGCTGGGCATACTCTGTTGACATGCACTGGGAATGGAGGCTGGTGGATGGCATTGTGGTATGCCCCAGAATTTCCAATTTTACCCTGTCCGTTTTCTACAGACTTTCTGTGATCTCTTTACAGAGTTTTAAGTTTTCTATCTTCCACATATTCCCGACGGGGTAGCCTAATGATTACAGCGTCCGCTCGTGGCGCTGATGATTTGGAGTCAAAATAATTAAGTTGCTTTTTGCTTTTCTTCAGAGAGAAAAGTTCAACATGCTTTTTACATGCCACTTGCCTTCTACAATCGTCACTACTACCGTGGTCGATACTGATATTTGCCTTTTGTTGAGGGCTTTATGAATATCCGTAGATCGTTATAAAACCATTTAAATGTCTGTGCGACTCATGGCGTCTTTTTTTGTTGTCTCGCATTCCATGCTGTCACTATTTCTTTTTCTACTCGTTGCCGCCATTTTCAATTCAGAATGTTAACATCTGCGCATGTCAATGTACATTCGAAAAAAAAAATCTACTACTTATCACCTCGAATGCATTAAACATTTAAAGCATGGTCAATAAACCGCGACCAATTCCAATTGCATTACGATTGATATTAAATTTGTCTTGGTTCTTTATTTCGTTATTGTAGCAAGTTCAATTGTGATTTTGTGGCTTGATGTTAACTGTCCATTTTTCTTTTTCCATCTTGCTTTTGGTCTGTGTGCTTTATCCTCCATTACTGTGGCTGGTTCAGGCATACATAGCAGTTCAAATAGACACTGTGCTCTTCGAGAGTAATCTGGAATGTATCGACGGTAGTATCCAATGAAACCTAAAAGTTTCCTTACGTCTCCTACCGTGCTTGATTGAACTGACTTCAAGTTCGCTACTGCTTCCTTGTCCCTCGGGTCCATCTTAATGCCATTTTCCGATACTACGTGTCCAAGATAACGAACTTCTTTCATGAAAAGGTTGCACTTCCGTGGTTTCAACTTGACGCCAGATCCCTTTAAACGTTGCAACACAGGAAGAAAGAGAGTATAGGACTGCTGAAATCATTGATGGCGTGATCAGAGCGATTCCAGCTTAAGAACCTCTCAAGGGATATATTGAAGGGAAGACTGACCTCAGCTTACCTGTACTTCGTAAACTCCTTCGTACATACTATGAAGAGAAGACAGCTACAGAGCTATACCAAGATCTGAGTTGTGGAGCTCAGGGTCAGCAGGAAGAGACCGTAGATTTTGTTTGGAGAATGCTTGACTTGAGTCAGAAGATAAATTTCTCCTGCAGAGAAGAAGAATCAGAGATAGTGTATGACCAGAAGCTGGTCAGGAGTATGACACTCGAACAATACTCACCGGGTTGAGAGATCCGATAATAGCTCAGGAGTTGAGAGCAACCCTGACATCGAACCCTGATGACGACGAGATAATTTGTCAAGTGGGTGCTGCTGTGTCTGCAGAAAAGGAAAGAAAGAGGAAGAATATGCAAGTTGCAAGCATGAAGTCGGTTGAGACAGAAATATCTACTGGGGAACTTTTGAAGACACTGAAGTTGCCTCGTTAAAACAACAGCAACAACAACAGCGTGCACCAAGAGTACCTCGGACACGTTTGTGTCTGCAGTGTCAGCAGAGTGGACAGTCACGTTGTGACCACTGTTTTAGATGTGGCTCATCAGAGCACTTCTCGGCTGGATGCAAGCACAGGCGAAGACGAGGGCCACCATCAGATTCGGGAAACGGGAGCGGGTCAGCACACTGTAAAGGCACCGATACCAAAAATAGAACAGAAATAAAAAATGCCACCATATACCTTCACCAATGCAATGGGGGAGGAATAGAGTCCTGACACCAAGTGTAAAACAGAGTATATCATCGACAAGGCTCACTCGGCTTGAGAGGTGTTACTCTGTCCACTGTCAGAACCGTCTGGCCAAACTGAACACGCTCACGCGAGTGTTTGTCCAACTGATAATGGCGGATGAACGTACTCGGTCGGCTCCAAATAGCCGCGGAGCAGATCTCCTCAATGGGCAGAGCAGCAGCATACGCCTTGGACGTGGCTACAGCTCGAACCAAATAAGCCTTTAACCCCTCCGGGGGAGACAGGCCTTTGTGTATGCAGTTCTGATTCTAGGATTTGAAAAAAATGGGCCCAATGCCCCCTCAGATTTGAAAAAGGGGCCCATAAGTTTCTGAGTTCTAAATAATAGGGGCCAATGTCCCACTTTGGTTTTGAAAGAAGGGCCGATACTTGTTCAGGTATTTGACATAATCTCAAATAATAGCTGACAATAAGAAGAATAAAACAGATTCAACTTTAAAAAGTTTAATGCACCATTGTTTTATGTATGATAGTACACAGATATTAATAAATCATGCTCTTGAGGATTGTGATTTTGTGTATCAATAAACCAATGAGTACATTTATCACTTGAGTTGACTAAGGTTGATTACATCTGACTACTCTTTGGCACAATATCTCATATCATTATCAAAGCAATAACTAACATGAATAACCGGAAACTTTCAAATCCAACCCTTAACAGTTGAGCAAATTGCACATAGGTATGTTTACACATTATGACTAGAGCTGAAGTCAATGCAATCATGTGAGAATGCAAGGTATCAAGTTTTCATCACAGCCTGTCATATGATAATATTAAATACACAAGTCTTGACAATTCAAAAACCATGAATAGAATTACATTTGGTAAAACTTGCTTTTGAATCAAAGTTCTTAAGACTTATGATCATTCTTTGACACAACATTCATTGTCGCACAGCAATACAATAACTAACATGAGTATCTCAAAACTTGAAAACAACATTTGAACACTTGAACTTAAGAAAACAACATAATAAATTGTTTCTGCACATCCTCTTCTATCAGTAAGAAGTCTATTTGCCAGTTTAACCTCAGAACTGTTCATTTATTGTTTAAAAAATCTATCTTTTTTAAGTTTCCAGTGGTTGAAAGAGTTGGTGAAGTCAAAGTCTGCCAGTTTTCCACCTTCACATTTTATTGTCATGAGTCTGTTTAGGTGGCTTTCCTCCATTCGATTTCTCTTTGTAGTTTTGATATTGTTCTGAACACTGAAACCTCTCTCGCAGTCTGTTTGATAAGGCATGAGTAATGCCAAGGCTGCAAGGGTGAAAAGGTTTGGTAACAGATTTTTGTGGAAATTGTGGAGCACAACTTCCACAGGTGCTTAGTGTTGTCTCTTGGGTACATGTTGTCAATGACAACACCCTTAGCAAGTTCCCATTCTTCCCTTGTGGCATCTGGGTTTACTAATGGATGACTGTGTTCAATCTGTTTGCCATAGTGATTTAGGAGTAAGTCCAGTTCTTTGAGCCCATACTCATGTCTTTCTTTTTCTGAAAGAAGCGAAAGGGGCCTCATGCCAAAAATATGGAACGCCTCTGCCACATTCAAAGATTCTTCTGGAAATCATTCTCTCATGTTCCTAGACATGTTATCACTCAAGTCATTTCTGACCTTTGACACAGCTTTGGTTGTTTCTGAAAGCCGTCCCTCAAAAGAAAGATTGTGTTTCTTGAAACTCACTGACTTTGTATGTCCAGTGTCCTTGTCTATTACGCACTTTATCTGCTCCTTGAACTCAGCCTGATAGTGTGATTGACCAGATTTGATTAAAGTCAGTTTGTTCTTTAAACCATTCAGGGCTGGTTGAACAACTGCGATGTCAATATCTTGTTTCTGAAAGACCAAAGACATTTGTGCTACAGAGGGTAACACATCCATCAGGACATGCAGAAGAGCAATAAATCTGTAACTGCTCAGTGTTTCAAGGAAGCTCTTTGATTTCTGATCACTATGCTTTTTGAAATATTCAATCAATGCAGGCCAAGACTTGTACACTGCTTGCACTGCATCCAGGAATGCAATCCATCTGATTTCATGGCATCATTTGACCTTTACAATCGGTAGATCCAAAACCCTCTGAATCTCTTCTAACTCACATTTTCTGTTTCCTGATTTTGATCCCCCAAAGTAATAGTATAAGTCAACCAGTGTTTTCTCAAAGCTTTTCAGTTCATCAATGTTCTTGGATGCCTGTGACGTGGCCAGATTAAATCTGTGAGCCATACAGTGAATGTTAACACAATGGGGACTGTTGTCTTTAACACTCTTAGCAACACCACTTTTTCTGCCAACCATAACAGCTGCTCCGTCTGAACCGAAACCATACACCTTTGACATTGAAAGCCCTTCTTCATTCAAGGCAGACTGTATTGCCTTGAACAGAACTTCAGCATCAGATCTTGGATCTCTTATTGTAATGTTCTTCACAAAAAATGTCAGAGGTGTGAAGGACACAGGATCAACCATTCTGGCATACAGTATCATTTGCTTGTTGACAGCAATATCTGTGCTTTCATCAACAAGAATAGAATACATGTCAGCTGCTCGGATTTGTTTTATAACATCTTTGTGAATAGTTTCTGCAATTGATTCTTGAAATTCTTCCCCTGCTGTTTGAGACATATAGGTTGCATTACTTCCCACTGATAACTTTGCAATATCCTCATTTCCCTCAATCTTCTGAAATTCCATCAAGCTACTGTACTTTTGAATTGGAATGTCTTCTTTGGCCATGTAAAATACTGTCCTCATGGCTGCTGTTACACTTGGGTTGGCATCTCGATTCTTCTTCTTCGCCCAGCTCAACACTCTGCAACAACAAACTAATAATAAACTCTACTGATATTCAAATATTATTGTCAAGTAAAATCAAATAATATATTCAATACAGTTCTTTTTTTAATTGCAAAATTAACAATTTACTTTTACACAAGTTAATGTTCACTTATTATTTAATTATATCTTATATACATTCTGTAAGCAGGTCAAGACACTAATAGTACTTTGTTCCAAAAAATATAAAGCCTCTCCCATCTCAAGATTTGTTATAAAAATGTGATAAATATGAGTCTAATTATTATCCATTCAAAATTGGCCAATCATGCAAATGACAATGTGGATTACTGATTTTTACATATTTTTTTGAATAGTTGAAAACAGATTTTAATATTTCATATTAACACAAATAAGAAAAAAAAAACCCTATATATATGTATCCCATACATCCTTCATAAATTAATATATAATTATTATACATGGTACTGATTAATATTATTATTTATACCTCAGATTTTCCTGATAAGCTAATAATTTGAGTAAGCTAATTCAATCCAGGAATATGTCTTGAATATTTCTTAAATCGAAAAAATAGATATTTAAAATCTTACCTTTTCATAATCATTCTGCACACTTTCGTTGCGCAAGGCTTGCTTATGGTCACGTCCCCTTGCATGCCGCGTGAGAGTATTGGTCCGGTAATTGGTACTTCCTTGTGGAGCGGTCAGTTTGTTGTTTTTATTATGTTTCAGACATAGTTTGCAGGTCATGCCACATTTCTCGTTTGGCTTTTGTAGCCAAGTCCAAGATTTAGTCCAGTCGTCTTGAAACTTTTTCTCTCTTTTGCGTTTCTTGGGTTGGAGCTCGTCCTCAGAACTATTGGAATCACTGCTGTCGTGATCATCGGCATTATCGTGAGATTGTTCGTGGGTGCCGCCATTTGCTTGACCTCTGACTCCACTAACTATTTCCTCTTCCGATTCGTCTGCTTGTATTGCAGACCGTGAAAAGAAGTCTAGCAATGTTCTAGTACGCTTCATAATGTTAGTATTAATGAATATAGTGTTCGTCAGTATTGCTAAACACTTCCTGGAAGTTCCATGTTGAGAAAGATTGCCGTTTTTGGGGTGGAATGGTCTGAAACATTTCCCGCCGCGACAAGAGACGGAAGTAAAGCCTCGTTTTGGATTGAGCACTAGACAATGCATCGACAACTGTCATTGGTCGAGTGTCATTGAAGTAACCAATCAGATGATCGCTATGAAAACGATCACGCCTCGCAACCAGGAAGTAAATATGGAAACATTAGACCGAGTGCATCCCGATCGAGTTAATGGTTGTATTTTATAAATAAACAGGATAATATTCAGGTATGCAGGTGTAGTTTAAAATTGCGGCTTTTATTATCTTCCTGCGGACACATGTACGCAATCGTTTATAGTTTTTGCGGCATAATGAAAAAATGTGCCGAAATGCCGCAATCCGGCCCCCTAGAATCAACACTGTGTATGTATCCCATACAAATTGCAGACACAATCCATCTAGATAATGTTTGTGTAGTAGCCGGGTGGCCGACTTTACCACCTCCGTAACAACAGAATAACTGTTTCCCTACGGAGAGATGCTGTTCTTTTGATATACGCTTTAAGAGTCTTGCGTACGTCTAACACGTGCACTCTGCGTTTCGCAGAGCGTAAAGGCGGGAAGATTGATAGGGGCAGTTACGTGAAACGCTTTATCGATTTTAGGGCAGTAGGAGTCAGGTAATCGAATGCTTAACCTATCCTTATGAAAAATGCTAAGCTCCGGGTCTGATGACATAGCACGACCCGTCTACCTGATGTAATTGCCACAAAAAATGCCGTTTTCCAACTCAATAGTTGAAGCAACAAAACCGACATATCGTAGAAGAAAGGACTAGACAGCCAATCTAAAACGATGGACAGATCCCATGGGGGACTTGTCCATCAGACGACCGGACGCACTCTGTCCACACCTGCTAAGAGACGCTGGACCAGAGGGTGTTGTCCTAAAAGGGCACCCTCGGCAGAAATATGGAAGGCTGAAATAGTCGTGGAGTAGCCTCCGATAGTAGACGCGGCTAGGCCGGCTTCTAACCGAGACTGTAAGAACTCCCACACTTCGACCACAGTCGAAGAAAAGGGATCAAGTATCCCTCTGTTTCCACACCAGCGCGCATAACAGGCCCATCTATCCTCATACTGTATGTTAATCGAATCCCTCCACGAAGCCAGAATTGTGTCTGCAACTGGTGCAGGAATTCCGCTCGCTTGGAGGCGATTCCTGACAGTGGCCAAGCCACCCACTGGATCCTGGGATCTGGGTGTGGCTGGCCATTCTGGGATAGAAGATCCGGTCGCATCGGTAATAGTACAGGAGGCTGTACGAGCGACCTGAGTATTACCGGAAACCAGCGTTGAGACGACCACAGAGGTGCAAGAAGCACAAGTAGTCGTGCTGGTTGGGTGGCTAGCTGCGATAGGACCCTGGGGATCAGAGGTATCGGTGGGAAGCCCACAGAACCCTGTCTGTCCAACCGAGCTGGAAGGCATCGGAGGCGATCGCTCCCGGATCCAGGATCTGTTAGCAAAACACCGGAGTCTCGTTCGTCACTCCAGAGGCAAACAGATCCACCTGGAACGACCCGAACAACAATCCTTTGGACTTTGGAAATGCGGTCTTGAGACAGAGAGACTAAACCCTGCTGTGTCTCGAATCTCGCCGCCCCCAAGAAAACCAGATCCTGTGTTGGAACCAGTTCGGATTTCTGGAGGTTGATGATCCAACCCAACCTGGTGAGAATGTCAATCACTGACCGTGTGGAATCCCGACTCAAGTGAGTTGCAAGTGCTCTGAGAAGCCAGTCGTCCAGGTATGGGTAGCAAAAGTTGCCCTGTGCCCTGGCGACTTGAGCTGGCACTAACATTAGTTTTGTGAACACCCTTGGCGCCGTGGAGATGCTGAAGGGGAGCACACGAAACTGATAGCACCTCCCGTCGAAGGAAAACCGGAGGTATTTCCTAAACTCGGGGTGCATTGGTACATGGAGGTACGCGTCCTTGAGGTCGATTGACGTGAGCCAATCCCCTGCCTCCACAGATGAGATCACTGAACACAGTGTCTCCATCTTGAAGGACGGTATCTCTAGTAAGTTGTTCAGGCCCTTTAAATTGAGAATGGGCCTGAACCCTCCGTCCTTTTTGGTAACCAGGAAATAAGTGGAATAAACCCCTTGATTTTCCTGGCCCGTCGGAACCACCTCGATGGCTGCCTTGTCCAGCGATGACTGGACCTCGGCACAGAGTATATCCGCCTTCTCCTGAGAGTTCGGCCCTGGAGTGCAACGAATCCCGGAGAAAGGAGGAGGGCCTCGCTTCCACTGCGGCATATGGCCATCCCTGAGTGTGGACAGTACCCAGGGATTTGATGTGACTTTCTCCCATTCCCAGAGGGAACAGAGGTAGTCGGCCGCCGACAGGGACATCGGGTAATAGGCAGTGTAACAACTGCTTGTGCCGGGACCACTAAGGGCTCCAGAGGATAGCTTACTGGGAAGCCAGGGACCGTCTTCCCCATCCTCTGAAAAGGCTGCCCTTGCCTCTACGTGCCTGTATTGGAGCAGTCCACTTAGGCGCTTCCTTTCCTGAAGAGGAAGGGTAAGCCGAGGCAAGGATGGAAGGCCGGGCGCAGAAGTGAGGAGTTGTTCGAGTAAGGGTTTAGAATCCTTAAACTGACTAACCGCCTCCTCGGCCTCCCTGAAAAAGGGTTGAACCCATCCTGAAGGGCAGAGAAAGTAGCGCCTGTTGAGTAGCCGGCGAATACCTGGCCACGGACAGCCACAACCGACGGAGGCCCATGACTGCACACTAGGGCTGTAACGAATACACTATGTGGCGAATACGATACGTATCACTAATATTGGGTAACGAATACGAATAATTATTCACGAATACAGTAATGTTGTGAAGTGAAAGGCAATAATTTTAGTTTCAAGCACAGTCATTTTTTCCTTTGCAGTTGATTGCAAATATCAGATATAGCTGAGACATCATCAGCTACATGAGTCAACAAATATTATTCAGATGATACTGTAATACCTTGCCCACAGTCACATTCCATCGTATAGTACATAGCATGTTAATAAAGATTAACATGGAATTAATCCACATCCTCGGCAAGTGCCAATATTACATGAAAACATACTAGAATAAAGTGACATGTTCTTTAATCCATAAAATGTTTGACCCACTGCTCATTAGAAATTGAAAGTGAAATAGCATGAAACCTTTACACTTTTCTAAGACATTTCCAAAAGAGTTTTGAATCCTTGCTGCACAAGTGTTACATTAAAAGCACATTAAATGGTAACATTTCTTTTCAGGAAGATTAATTTGTCTACTTGGTCTGGAGCCAGTGTAGCTCTCTGAGCTGTTACAATATCCCCAGCAGTACTGAAAACCCTTTCACTGGGAACTGATGTAGCTGGAATACATAATAAGTACTTTGCTACTTTGCTCAAGAATGGATATTTAAGGTCATGCACATGCCACCACTTGAGTGGATTGGTGTTCACATCTGCACATTCTTCTCCAGTGTAGTCTTTGAGTTCATTATGTATCATCTCCTTGGTCAGTGTGGCAGGTACATGAGAAACAACGAAGACATCACCAAATAATGAAGACAATACTGTCTTCTTAGGTGGGTTGACTACTTCCTCCTTCACAGCTGTGGGCACCCGTACTGGTACATCTGGTAGTGGTGGATCACTCCGAGCATCTGGACCTGAACATGGTTCAGGTTTAACGATACAATACTGAAACAGGAAACAGGTCATATACAGTACACATCTAATCAGCAACCCACTGGTTTGTTTTGGTAACTGTAACAGGAGACACAAAAGCAATATATTATTTTCGTTTTAAATGGACCAATGTTATGTTTTTCTATTATTTAAGATTTCAGGTGTTACCTCAAGGGAGCTGTCATCCATTGCTTCAGCCAAGTCACTAAAGAGATTCTTGGACTTCCAGCTTCTCTTGTTGGCTGAGGAAGGGCAGAGCTTTGAACCTGGGATCAACAAACGATGCTTGTAGCAGTACTTTTTTTATCTCCACATCTGTGCACCTTTTTGCAAGACTGTTCAGAATAGCAGCTTTCATCTGAGAGACAGGTTTAACATCCTCAACATTTGGGGCCATAGCTTGTGATAGGTTCTGAAGAAGTGGCCTCACCATTGATAGAGTTTGATTCACAGAGAATGGTAGTGATTGTTTTCAGCGGGCCCAGGACTTTGATGAAATGTTCAGCAAGAGTGATGTCATCTGAGCTCAGTGTGTCCAGGTCCTTTTCCCTTTTAATATTTGGTGACATAAGCGCTGCCATCACAGCAGGCTGCTGCTCCAAGTATCGTTCAATCATGTCATAGGCGCTGTTCCATCTTGTTTTCACTTCGTTGATGAGATGATGGTTAGGAAGTTGAAGTAACTTTTGTTTCAGCTCCAACTGGTAATTTGCTGTGCTGCTCTTATGAAAGAAAGTAACAATTCTCCTGACTCTTCCAAGAAGACGTTGAACTTCATTTATATGAAGAGCTTGTTGGGCTGCAAGATTGATGATATGTGCAAAGCATCGGATATGGGGTGTCATCTCTGCAATGTCGACTGCAAGGCATACATTTGCTGCACTGTCTGATGTAATAGGCTGCTGTCCATGTGGACGTTTCAACTCCCAGTCATCTATGGCTTGTTTCAAGACATCAGCAATGTTAACACCTGTGTGTGAGTCAAAAATTGGTTGTGTTTGAAGAACTTTGTTTTTAAGCTCCCACTCTTCATCTATAAAATGAGCTGTGATGGTAATGTAGCTCTGGGTTGCCCGTGACGTCCAGCCATCAGTGGTCAGTGCGACTGAGTGAGATGCCTTGAGACCTGCCTTCACTTCTTCTTTTACTTTCTCATAGAGATAAGGAATAACTTTTCTGCTTAGTGTGGCTCGTGATGGCAAGGTGTATTTGGGTTCAAGACAGTTCATCATTCTTTTTCAGAAGAAGTCCTCCTTGGGGTACATATAAGCATTAAAATGTCCATTTTAAAAGCCTACGACAGTTGTAACAATATTTCAATAAAATATTTTACCAAACAAAAAATTTGTTATGTGTGGTGAGACCACCCCTACTCAGCCTCCATCGTCCGGTACCTCTCTTCGGCGTGCTCACGTCTTAGATGTCCGTAAGACTCTCAAGGCTTATATCAAACGAACGGCTGCTATCAGGAAAGATAAGCAGCTGTTCTGTTGTTATGGCGGTGGCAAGGCTGGTCTTCCGGCGAACAAGCAGACCATATCTAGGTGGCTTGTCTCTGCCATTTGTTCGGTTACTCTTACAAAGGATTAACCATCCCTCAGGGTTTAAAGGCTCATTCGATTAGGGCAGTGGCGACATCAAAAGCATACGCCGCGGCACTGCCCATTGAGGAGATCTGCTCAGCGGCTATCTGGAGCCGACCGAGAATGCGTTCATCCGCCACTATCAGCTGGACAAACACTCACGGGGCGTGCTCGGTTTGGCCAGACAGTTCTCACCAGTGGGCAGTGTCGTGATTCTCTGGCGAATGAGCCTTAGAAATCATGTTTGCTTTTCTCATGGTGTAGGTGTTAATAAATTCCTCAATTTTTATCGGTGGTGGTATCACATTGGTGGTGGTTTTTACCGTATGTAGCGATTATCACTCGTTACAGTCACTGTGTTCATCCCTGCACCACGCTTCGCTGGTTTGGGTTGCTGAGGGATATATATTGGACTCGCCCATACTTTCCCTCCCATTTTGATGGTTGGGGGTGGGACTTAGCGTCCCACCTTTATAAATTCCACCAATAGCCTATCGGCTAGGCTCCTTTTCCCCGCCTTGCGCCCCGCCTGATTGACATCAGCGGTCAGGTGACTAGGTGAGTGTACTTTCTCTCTCTGCCGTGGCTTCGGCTGTGCCTTCAACTGAACTAGGGGGTATGTTAGGCAGACAGAATACCGCTCCCGACTCAACATCGTTGGGAGTCTGTCTTATGCTTATATGTACCCCAAGGAGGACTTCTTCTGAAAAAGAATTTTACAAACCTGGAGAGGTTATGAATTCTTTGAAGAAAAGTCCTCCTTGGGGTACGGCCACCCACCTCCCCTCATTCTGTCTGACACGTTCAGCATGAAAAGTGAGGTACGAGGTACACAGCCAGAGTTACCTGCTCTTGGCTGTAGGGGACCTCTACGGGGCCCTGTAGGGGTGGTCTCACCACACATAACGAGTTTTTTGTTTGGTAAAATATTTTATTGAAATATTGTTACAACTGTTGTAGGCTTTTAAAATGGACATTTTAATGTAATCTACAAAATGAAATATCAGCCCCTTTACGACCCGACTACAAGGCTTTTTCTAAAGCCAGGAGAAGGAAAGCAAACGGGACCCCGCGGTCCGCCATCTTGCCTGCCACGTGGCTGGAGACAGCGAACACGCCGGTAAAGTTACAACAAATCATGAATGAAAAAAGTCATACGAAGATTCCAGCTAGCGCCCGAGCGAAAAAAAGGAACCATACATACAGGATTTGACTCTATCTCACTCATCGCTCTATTATTCGTAGCTTCTTGGACCATGCAATCGACCTACACGGCCGACGACAGCATGATTCTTGAATCCTTGACTTTCAACAATGGAATAAGGCCTCAAGTCAGTTGCTATATACAACGCAAGATTGCGGGTGATGAGTTGAGCCCTTGAACTGCCAGGTGCTAGTTTTGTTTGAAAGGCGCTTTGTATGGTAAGCTGGCCTATGGATCTTTTATTTACAGATCCATTTACATGTACCAAATTCATGGTGCTTGACAAAGACGTTTTGTCTCCCTGGTTACTAGTATCTATGGCATGTTTCCTTCTAAGATGTATTGCCATAATGTATGTATTCTTGCAGGTATAGCTGAAAAAAACATACTGATTTTTTCAAAGTGTCCTCATTGAATTAAACATATTCCCTACAAGCAGTTGTTGAATTGCTGAAGAATGTGTCATATTTTGCTCGGAGAAACAATTTAAATATATATTGAATATATTTATAACACAATTATGCATTCAAGTATACAGCTTTCTACTAATGAAAAATACATAAAATTAATATTCGATACCTCCACATCTAGTTACTGCAAGTATGTATTTTTGACATAATATTCTAGTCATTCGCCAAGTTAGATCAGTATCATCTTAGTTACGTGTCAAAATTATAATTTTTCCTTATCCTGACTCATGTTTATTTGCTTATCTTCTTCTTCTGACGAACCTAGTGGAACACTTGTATCTCCCAATTGAAGTTCCCTTCAATAAAAAATCACTCATTAGTACTGACCACGAGTTACCTCCCTTCCACAAGCGCGGGAACGAGGGCGCCACCTGAACCCATGTGCCTCACTCTCTCCTTCTTCGCCCAGTGAGCAAGACGTGAGAG